ACGACTCTACTTTCAATTCTGAAGTCAGCGACTCCACCTTTGCTTCTAGTTCACCATTCGACTTCACTGCGTTCTTCGCACCTGCTGAGGTATCTATAAGTGGACTTGGTGCTGGATTGTCTGACATCGGAGCCAAGGCTGACGATATCGTTCATAAGATGGGTCTCGGTGTGGCCGGTGCCCCAACAACTGCCGCTCCAGGAACCTCAACCAATCCGGCCGTTCGTACTCCTGCAGTGGAAATCACTAGCCCTACAGGACGACTTACCGACACTGCAAAGTTCGGTTCGAGCACNCAGAAAACGCCACTTGAGTGGATCACAGCTCTCAATGCTGAGATGGCAAAGAGTCCCGCAATCAAACAATCGCCGGGCCTTCCATTCACCTACTTGAGCTCAGACAATACGCCAATGACGTTTGCCGAGTTCGTCCGAGATAGGCTGTGTGCTCCTGAGTCTGCGAATAATAATGTGATTTGGCTGTCACCTTTCCGAGGAGGAAGCAATCCCTTTGACCCCAGCACACCTTCAACCCCACCGGTCAGACAAACTAACGACGACTTCTTACGAAGACACTTTGCGGGACAGGTCTGCTGCGAAATCGACTACGAGGAGAAGCTTTCAAAGAAGCTGTTGAAGGCAGATCGCTATGCGAAGGAGCCATCTAAACAGTGCAAACACCATCCACTTGGACGTCGTGTTGCCAACCACATGGGATCTCCCTACGCTCGCACAGATCGACCAAAGGCAGACCCCAGTAGCAAACACGTCACTGGTCCCTATGCACCAAACCAAGCGGCCTTGGCCATAGCATGGCACGATTTCGTCAAGAAACACCCCGAGCTACGACGATTCCTTGCGGGCCGCGACCCTTGGAACAGAGTGCCTGCCGTTCCTGGATCAGTCGATCTGCGCATCAACAGACAGGTAATTGCTAGAATATATGGGATCCCTTGCCCTAGTCACGGAGAGTTCACTGCCTGGAGGGCTGCTCAAGCCATGTTACCTCCTTCAGAGCAAGACTTTGCAGAGATCGATAACCAGCACAGGTTCTCGCAGATACCAGCAGCCTTGAGGACCATCGGAGACGCTGCTATGCCTACTACTGCTACTCGTGATCTACCCGGAATCACCACTTCCAGGCAATACTTACAAATACCTGATCACTTGATAAACTTCCAGGTCGGTGCCGCTACAATGCCAAATCTGAATGTCTTTGGAATCTACCCGGATCCCTGCAAGGATGTCAAAGACGAGCTTGCCAAAGCTGAGAAGATGATCGCTGTCTTGAGGGGTAAAGAAACATACGAAAAGTTCCACGCCGACGTCATTTTGTTTGGCCCTACCCGTGAACAGCTCACTCGCGTCGAGGACGAGCTGGAAAGCTTGNNAAGAAGGATCATGAAGAGGCTAAAGAGAAGCTTGCCAAGGCCAACCCTGAAACCATCAAGACCAATGAACAACAACAAGCAGACGCCAAAGCCCAACAAGCAAAACTTGATGCTGCTACGAAGGAAGCCGACAAGAAACTTAGCGCTGCCGAGCAGCAAGCCGATCAGTTTAAGAGACAGNGCTGAGGATCTCTGCAGAGCGCTTGATCTCGAGAAGAGTAGAAGAAACGATGCATCCATCGTCGAGGAGGAAGAGGAAGTCGACAGACCAGTCAACGAGATGTCTTGGCTCCGCTTCTGGATATTCCTTGCCCTGTCAGTGTACCTCTCTCTCAAGTACTTCTGGCACACGACACTTGTGTCTATGCCCATGTACCAAGACTCGGCTCTTTCGGTGACCGAGATTCTGTGGTATGACACTGTCGAGTCGACCAAAGACCACCATGCTCTGATCATCGTTCTTGCAGTTCTTACATTTGTTGGTTCACTTCTTTGGGGAGCCACGCTTGCCTCTGCAGATCGTGGAGTCAACCCGTACCCTGACTATGATGATGATCACAGTAACGATGCCAGCAACGGTGGTGATGGCAAGGGCAGTGATAACAAGAAGGATGACCCCTCCAACAGTAAGAAGAGCAGCCCTACCATCAAGAAGAGCAGCCCCAGTAGCAAGAAGAACGGCATGGCCAAGAACCACAGAAACCCATTGTCATGGTTTCCTCATGGAATCGCACCGCCTACACCAACTTCACCCAAGTCTCCTCGAGGCTTCCAGACAACCCGTCAACAGACTTGGAAGCATTCCTACATTTCCTCAGTCAGCACCGAGCCTTCGATAGGCACCTCTGCCGGAGCCAAGCTCGAAGATGACTCGCCACGCTGCAAGGAGCTTGAGAACAAGGTCAAGGAACTCGAGAAAAAGCTCCTCGTGGCCGGAAGAGAAGTTTTGGCTGCGAAGACGAAGGTGTCACAAGCTCAACAGGCTGAACTTTCTGCGAGTGACCGTAGACCTCTAGCAGGTCCCAACGCTGATTACAAGCGTCAAACTTTCGGACACTCGGTGATCAGCTCTGTCAACACTGCACCTCAAGCTGCGAAGGAGACCGCTAAGGCCGTTGAGCACGAGGTAGAATCTGCAACCAGTGACACTTCTAGTTTGTGGAACAAGATCGCAAGCTTGGTGCCTCAACCCTTCTCTGCTATCGCCGCTTCAGCTACTGCACAGACTACTAGTGCCTCTACTGAAGACAAGGATCTGAAAGCCGAGCTTGAAGTGGTCAAGAAGGAACTTGAGGTTGCTAAGAAGGAAATTGCAGCCAACAAGAAGCAACCCGCAGCCAAGAACAAACCCACCGACAATTCTGATGAAGACTGGCTGGACCCCTGTAAGAACTTCAAAGGAGAGCTGGAGCTTGTGAAGCAGCAACTCAAGCAAGCGAAAGAAGAGATCACATGGTTGAGAAAGCAAAAGGAAAAGGAGAACAAGAAGAAGGATAATGTTGATGCGGACGACGAAGGCAACGGCGATGATGCTGACGACGATGATGGTCCTCCTCCTGGATCACTTGAGCTGAAGTTCGTCCTCGCAGAAGATCTGGTCAAGATCAGAGAGCAACAACTCAAGAAAGCAGAGGAAGAGCTCAAGGTGTGCCACTTAGCCAACAAGAAATTACGAGACAGATTCTACGATCAGCGCGATGGATGGGATGTCGAGAAGAAGAAAGTGGAGGAACTGCAAAAGGCTAAGGGCTCGACCCAGACTTCGAGCATTGGCACTCAGATGAACTTGCCCGACACCCAGGCTTCATCTGGCGACATTGATCACTCTGAATGTCAGAAAAAGATCAGAGATCTGATAGCAACACGCGATAAGCTGAGAGATGAACGAGCAGATGCAGACACCAAGTGCCGCGACGCAGAAAGTCAAGCTCGTGAACTGCGCGACCAACTCGCCAAGCAAGGAGAAAACTCCAAACAGGAGCATGTCGACAGTCTCAATAACAAGATCACAGGCCTGGAGACTGGACTCCAGCGCTGTGTAAGGGAGAATGAGCACTACAAGAGAATGTACGACGCAGGTGCCGATCACAGTGAATGCCTCAAGGGCGACAAACGTGAGATCCTCGAAAAGAGAATTGCCGACTTTGAGAAGCATGGCGACAAAAGTGTCGCTGAGCTCGAGAAGCAGATCACAAACCTTAAGAATCAGATGCAAGGTCTCAAAAGGGATGCCGAGAAGAGACAAGACCTCGCTGAACACTGCAAGTTGGACTCTCAACAGCTTAAACAACAACTTGCAGACGAAAAGATGCACAACCGCAACTGCGTGGCAGATCTCAAGGCTGCAATGGAAAAGGAGAGGGAGGCACGTAAGCAACTTGATCTAGTCAAGAAACAACTCTCTGAATGTGAGGAAGCAAGGAAACAGAATGAAGGTCAAGATGAGGTGGAGAAGAAGGTACGCAAGGAACTTGAGGATACCAAAGATCAACTCGAGACTGTCAAGGATCAACTTTTCGAATGCGAAGCAGCAAGGAAACGCTTCAACAGAACCCTGGACCAGCAAGAAATGGTTGACAGGGCCGTCAAGGAAGCCGAGGATGCAAAGGCCACACTCGCTCACTGGCTGGATCAAATCGAGCTCAACAAAATTGCTGTGCTGGAGGACGCATCTTCGGACCCGGAAATTGCCAAGTTGCAGCGATCCAACTTCGAGAGGAACATGATGATCGAGGAGATCAAATGGCAGAAGGGGCGAGTCGAGGAGGATCTTGAGTGGTACAAAGACAAGTTGCGAACCACACAGGAAGCTGAGGATCACGAGCAGTGCAAGTCTATGGAAAACCTCTACAAGCAGCAGGCCGAGTCTGCACAGAAAGCCCTCGATGTAGCCGCTGACGAGAACAGAAAGATGTATCTCGCTTACCTGAAAGAGCAGACAAATGCCTATCACGCACAGAAGGACAAGGAAGCTGCTGAGAAGGATGTTCTCGAGGCAGAGAAAGAGAAGGAAAAGCTCGCCAAGCAACTTGAAGAGAAGAACAAAATTCAATCTTCGAATATAATTAACGATGGCGAGGATTCTGCATCTCCAGGTATGTTTACACCATCGATTTCACTCGCATCAAGCTGACAAACANNAGAGGTGGCTTCTAAAGCACTCCAGGATGCAAGACGTGCAACCAGACTCGCCGAAGCCGAAGCGACAAAATTCAGATCCGAACGCGATCGTCTGGCCCGTGAGAATGCACTTCTCTCCCAACGACTAGAACGCAAACCCGATGCTCTAGAGCACTCAGTCAAACCCAAAGTCCGAGGTGCATTACCTCCAACACCCATCAGCACCGACTACGCAAACAAACACAAAAAAATAAGACCCGGCGACATCATCACTAATTTCAGAACCTTGGACGATCCATTTGGCGATGCTCTATTTACTGGCGGATTCCGCTCCGGATTTCCGAAGTTCGACCCCAATCGTCTATTGGATATTCTCGGTCAACCCAGTTCCCTCAACACGCCTAGAAGAGCCCCGATACTCACCCCTGTACCTCCTTACCCTCCGTTTGAGCCCTTGACAACTGAAGGTCGTCGCAGATCTGCTGAACGCATGATTACTGACCCTGGAAGAGAACAAGCACTGGCCGACGAAAGAGCATACTTGGCCGCAGTCAGAGCTGTTGAGCATGAATTTGAAGAGCGAAGAAACGATGCGTATGCGATTCTGTACACGCTCTACAGACCAAAAATCAACATTCCTGTCAGGAACGTTATGGTCAGACTTGGTCAGGTCGTCGAAGAAGAGGAAGAAGAAGATGCTCAAAAAGAAAAATCAGAAAACGAAGAAGCAAATGATGAGGACGAGGAAGATGCCAGCAGTGATGGCAGTATGGATGATGAGGAATTCAACGTAAGTGCTTCTATCACCAAATAATGTCGAGGATGATGCTGACAACAGAAACAGAAAAATACAACATGACACCCACGCCTCTGCCTCGTAGGCAACGAACACAAAAGGGTGTATATCACAGTCCTTGATCAGTTTCACCAAGAATGACGCCACGAAAACAAAGCAGCAACAAAACACAAAACACGACCACTGTAATCATAGAGTAATCCTTATCGTTTGGCGTCTGGGTACTGCATGAGTTTCATATCCTCCTTGTTCCTTATGTTTATGTTTGGATAATTCAGGAGTTGGTGGATCCTACTGTTCAGCAAATGTTTATTGGTTAATACAGTTATAATACCAATCGTTTTGAGTTTATTTTCGCTAGATCTGTTGTTGTCAGAGTTTTCATGACACATCGTGACTGTCGTATTTGAGCCCAATAATTCCTGATGGAAAGAAAGATGACCTCTGTGCACGGAAGAGAATCATCTTGTGTTGGAGCTTCACACTTCTTAATACCTTTACAATCTTCCGATATCGGCTATGATTGAACGCTTGGACTTTCACATACATGACTAAATTGACAGTTCTTTCCAAGCATCCTGGTCCCCCATCGTTCTTGTTCCAATTCTACTTTGCAGCCGTATGTACCTCCACACGAGCATCCCCGATAGTGGTCACAAAAGTACTCATGGCAAACCTCCAGGGCTCCACCATCTGCGTCTCAGTCTGAGTGATCCTTTTGATATACTCCTCAGTAACCGTACCCACAGTCTTGTGAATCTCCGCAGTAACCGTAACAGTACCCGCATAGTTTGTAGCCGTATACGTAACCGTTTCTGTGGACTGCAGCATCGAGAACACCCTCGCATTGTCTTTGAGAGCAGTGGAACTTTCATCCAGGAAACAAGCAGAAGCTATCATGGTGATGAGCATGCAGAGGATGAAGCCCACTGCACACAAGCCGCGGATGGCATTGCAGGTTGTACTGGAAGACGATTTTTCGGTTGGAGTTTCGATGTTGTTGGTGGGTGAGGTGGTGGTGTCTCCGATGTTAATGGTTTTGGATTGGTTTGTGAGTTCTAGACGATCGGAGCGTTGGAGTGGGCGTGAGGGTGGAAGGTTTCTTGATGGAGTGATGCCTTGGAGCATTGAGGGTGGTTGGGAAGAATAGGCTGGGGCTGTGGTGGCTTCGCTCGATGGTGGTATGCCAGCGTGGGTAGGGTAGGATGGAGGTTGATCGGATTGATATGTCATCTCGCGCATTTTGGATGAAGGCTTGGAGGAAGTTTGAGGAGGGGAAAGGCGCATACGTCCGGGTCGTTCTTATACATCGCTACGGCAGATACGACAATGGACACATGCTCCATAGTTCAAGTCAAATGGAGACTTGACCATGGTGGAGTGAGTTCTTCGAGAAGTCCATTCATGGCTTCGAGAATGGCCAAGAATATTCGAAGCGCATGTGATCGATGTAGTGCGGATGTTTGCTCGGACGATTACGTCAAGAAGTTGCAGGGTCGAAAATTACTTCCTGATCCGCGATTGACTTTGTGTCAGAAAAGGCGAGTTCCCATCATCAAGCTACATATCAGTACTCCTCAATCATCTTCCAGTCTCTAGCCATACCACCATCCCTGAAACACTTGTATTCAACATGGCCCTCAAGGAACAAGTGAAGATTGACAATAAAGTCTCGACCGAGAAGACCGAAGCCCTCAACCCGAAAGTCTTGATACCAAAAGACAACTATCAGACCTGTCCATATGACACGACTCAACATAAACAAATGAACACATCCAAGAGATATACAGAATGCAAATGGACAGAACCACGCTTCAACACAATCGACGTCTTGCTGCTGATCGGTCTGACAATCTTCTTTGCCCTACTCACCTACGCCATTCAAGAAGACCTGTGCAAGATCTGTAGGGAACAAGGACAGCAGTGTACCCTCCCTACATGTCAAACAACAATCGAAAGCACTACTTTCCACACTACTGGACATCCATGTCTAACAAGTCATACGGCCGTGACAGAGTACGCATCAAGCACGCAGGTTGTCTCTATGCTACTTCGTTTCGAGGCGACAGCAATGAGTATACTACTCTTCAATGGCCGGTTGAAGTTCTCTAGTTTAGTGATAGTGTGACTGGTACTCAGAGGAGGCGGCCAATATCACCCCAGTGCATATCACACGTCGACAACGCAGTTTCCCTATGCCCATTCATATCGCGACGAGGGCGGTGAATACATCATTCTTAGATGACTGGTCGAGAGGATCGAAGAGGACATGCGCTGAGGGAGTACTGCCACCATCGTTGACGTTTTCATCACAGTTCCCTATCACTTCCGATATACTTGCTCAGAGAGCCGCAGACACGAATTCGATGACTCTTGTGCCACTCCATGTAATCCGGTGCGTAGATGACTGACTCACAACGCAAAACTCACCATTTTCACAAAATACAAGGACAAACTTCGACACTGCTGCTTCCTTCCACACTCAATCTCCCACACCAGAAATGTCTCCAACTTTCGATCGCAAAACCTTTACAGCAGAACCTCATCCCAAAATGACAGATCCTAACACACAAAATACCATGAAGCATGAACCCTGGACCCAAGAACACCTCACCGACCTCGAGATACTCCTAAAATCCAAGCTGAAAGATCAGAACCCCAACACAAAAACCATCAACAAAATCCAAAAACCCAACACAAGACCCACAATCCCACCAAAACGCGACAACACTTCCAAGAAGAGAAAACCCTTGGTGGCCATCTCCATCATCGCAGTAATCAAGATACTCTACTACACTGTCTGGTATTGGTTACTCTACAGCATGTATCAAGGATGCCAAACCTGGCAGGTACAGCCAACACCACTGCCTCTTGCATCTTCACCGATGGCGTCTTTGGGTACGCAGATTTCGACACTGATAGCAACACAAACAGTCACAGCGACAATAACTCAAGAGATCATGGCCACAGCGACCGAGTACAAGGAACGAGAAATCTACTATCGTATGGATGAGCCGGGGAGATTGACTGTCTCACGCACACTGTCCAAAGTTCCGACTTGGGCAGCTACAGAGACCATCACAACCACAGGAACAGTCACGGCAACTGAGACGCTCACAGCAACAGAGACAGCCACAGTAACAGAAACACTCATAGCAACAGCAACACAAACCCTCCCAGCACTAGCAACAGAAAAGACAAAAGGGTGCTTCCCAAACAAAGCCTTCAAGCAAAATTACGCAAAATGGCAAGAATGCGCTCGAGCAAAAAGAGGCAAGAAAAAGTGCTCCTTGGAAAATGTTCATCCTCATAGGAGCACCCAAATCGGAGTCTTTCGCAGTCATCAGAACATCAATCGTGGTGATGGTACAATTGGTGGTAGAGTGGAGTTAATAGGAGTATAGAGCTTGAAGATTGAGGTAATCATAGTCTGAAACGAAGAAGTTTCCAAAATGTCAACCTCAAATTCTCTTGATTTGGCTTTCTTGGTACCGTAAATTTAGGCTGGGGGGAGACCCTTGGAGAAGTGTGATATGTGGGGTTGATATGGCCTGACCAATTCATACCGACAAACTTGCTCGAATGTCCAAAGTCAAATGCAAGTTGTGTGACCGTGACCATTCTTTTCACTCTGTGATTCGAAGAACGAATCCAACAAGATTGCTGTTCTCTTCATCTCCCACAAAGCCCTCTCCATAGAACCATCCAAGCCTTCATCACGACAGACACAGCAATGCCCAACGACAACAGCTTCTGCCACAAGATGCTAATCTTCCTCGGTCTCATGACAGTCGGCGTCTCGCTCATCGTCGTCTCGTTCGGTGTGGCCCTCAGCAACGAAAACAACAAGATCTTACTGGATTCGACAGTAGTAGAACCTGGTACACAACAGAGAGCATTCCGAGTGGCGTCTTGCCATGTTGGGACGTGTACGAGAGACAAGACGTTCTGGAAGACGGTGATTATGCCGGCTTCGACGGTCACCGAGACGGCAACTGTTTATCTCGCAGATGATGTCAAGCCTACGGGTCCTGTTGGGCCTCCACGACCGACGGTTCAGTTGTCGGGCACTCGATCTACAACCCTCATGCCACATGTTATGCCGACAGAGGATGCTGAAGAGTTTGAGAAGAGGAAGGGAAGGTTCATCGGAGGAGGCTCGAGAGGTAGGAGGATTGTCGATGTCAACAAGCCGGAGATACAGATGTGAGATATGGCAGTTGGGGGGTAAGGGGTATTCAGTGTTCAAGCAGGATCAAGCTTAGCTTTTGCTTCTTCAATCCATGTCTCAAAGACCATGTCTCCAGCAGAAACGGCGCGTAGGGGTGTAGTCCGACTGTTCTTCTTTGCAGCGTCTGGGTTCTTGTTGTGTAAGTCTGGTTGAGCAGGAATCCAGGGCTGAGGATGACCGATAGGAGGGCTTGTATTGTCTCGCAGCTCGATTGCGACGGTGAAAGTGCAGTTCTCGGGTAGAGGTTTCAGTCTGGAACCGCAAGAGGACAGTCTGGACATTGTCGCACGCATCTGCTCTTCTAGGTCGACTCTGGGCAGGACAGCGACAGTTTCCCCATCGTCGGTGGTACGTGACATGGGGGTAAAGTGGTATTCTTTGGGGACGAAGGGGAAGCGGCTGAGGTCAAAGACGAAGCGTTCGAGAGGCGTGTCCTGTGAGGAGTAGATGACAAGAGCAACGCGGTCAACAGAGCCTTTCAGCAGCTCAGTCTGGACGGCGGCGACGGCATCGGTGATCCATTGGCAGACTTTGGGGTGACGAGACTGGCGGACGCTGTAGTTGTACTTTTTGGCCGAAAGGAAAGAGTCGCGGGGGTAGATGTCACGCTCGTAGAGGATTGTGTGGATGGCGACGATGAGAAAGTCACCGAAGACGCCGACAAAGGTCTGGAAAGTGACAATGACGTCCGTGTCGTCCATGTCGATGGGATGATGGTCTTTGTGGTCTTTGTGGTTAATTGACACGCGTGGGTAGACGCGTCTTGGCGGAAGGCGCGTGTCCAGTCAATCTTTCACGAATCAAGGCCAACAAAGCAATCGACCATGACATGTTGTATACTGGCTTGCTTCACGTCAAGGCAGCTTCATGATCTCTCGACAGGCTGAGATTATTGACATTGTACTTGTGTTGAAGGTGCCTTGCTGCCTGCCCCTCGAACTTGATTGCTACCCCGCGATACGCTAAAGCATCAAGTACCTTATTCTCTCTACCACAGCAGCATGGAGCAACAAATAGTGCGGCTGCTCCACGACACGCAGTCGCCCAATGATGGCCCTCGTCGCAATGCCGAGCTGCGCCTCCGCCAGCTCTATACAGACACGACCTTTGCCCCCACCCTGCTCGCCGTCGCTACACACCAGTCCATCGACCTTCCTACCCGACAAGCTGCCCTGCTGTTCCTCAAGCAGTTTGTGCAGCAAGTATGGTCTCCCCAGTTCGAAGAGTTCAAGGGCGAAATGCTCGTCTCTGTCCAAGACCGTGCCAAGCTCCGACAGGCCCTGCTTGACCTGGCCACCGATGCCCACCAGGAGAGAAAGATCAAGAGCGCTGCTTCCATAGTCGTCAGCAAGATCGCTACCGCCGACTTTCCCGACGAATATCCAAACCTCCTTCCCACCTTACTACACATCATCAACAACGGTCAAGATGGTCAGCTACACGGTGCCCTCAAGGTCCTCCAAGACTTGGTCGACGACTGCTTCAACGACGATCAGTTCTTCAATGTCGCCCACCAGATCGTCTCGTCTGTCTTTGCCGTAGCCACCGGCTCCCGTCCTACCATTCTCCGCGCTTTGGCTGTCTCGGTCTTCCGATCATGCTTTGACATGTTGGAGATGGTCATGGAGGATCACAAGGCCGCTGTCAAGTCGTTTGCCGAAGAAACGCTCAACAACTGGTACCCCTTCTTCCTCGCTACCTTGAACATGCCCGTCCCACCAACTCCTGTCGAGCAAGAGGAATCCCAGAACCCCGTCGCTGAGGAACACCGTGGCATCCTTGCTCTCAAGCTGCAAGTCGTCAAGGTCCTGATGCGCGTTCGCTCCATCTTCCCCTCAGTCCTGGCCCCTCAAGCTCCTGCTCTGTTTGCCGCTACATGGCAAGAGCTCAACAACCTCCGCCAGCCATATCACCAGTCCTTCATCCTCCACGATCGTCAAGGCAGACTGGAAGACGCCGATGGTTTGCCCTTTACCCTCGACTTCTTGGTGCTCGAGGAGCTGGACTTTATGCAAGCCTGTCTTCGCGCTGCTCCTGTCCGCAAGCAACTCGAAGAACAGTTGCAGTCCCAATCAATGCCAGATACTTGGGTTACCGAGGTCATGAAGCTCACTGTCACATATGCACACATCACCACAGAAGAGGAGGGCCTGTGGGATATTGACCTCAACATCTTCCTGGCCGAAGAGTCAAACGTCACCGCAAACTACACTCCACGTACTGCCTGTGCTGATCTGGCCATCAAGCTTGGAGAGTGGCAGAGTGCTGCTACCATCGAGGGTCTCTTACATCACACTCGCGAGCTCTACTCGACTGACTCTAGCTGGAAGGCAAAGGAGTCTGCACTGTTCATTCTTAACCAACTCCTGACCGACTTCTCTGACGGCGAGCGAGAGATAGCTCCCGAGATTGCCAGTGCCTACATCGACTTTGTCAGATATGCAATGCAACAGGAACACGTCTTTCTTCGAGCGAGAGGCCACTTGACCGCTAGTAGTCTGGTTCGCACGGCTGCTTCTGCTCTCGGTGGAGTGGATTCCTCGCTCATGGAGCAATCACTACACGCAATTACCAACGACCCCTCTGATGTCGTCAAGGTGTCTTGTATCCGTTCCATGCAAGCATACCTACAAGGCGTTCCTTCTGCCAACAACATGTCCATGCAACCTGCCATCATCAACGCCATCCACACCTTCGTCACTGAGCTTGACTTTAGCGACATGGATGAGTCTGAGGATGTCATGATTGCCATCGTCGAGACGTTGCGTGATGCCATTATGATTGACACGCGCATCTGCCTGACTGGCTCTGGCTTGGATGTCCTGTTTACCATTGCTAGCTGGTGTGCTGTCAACTACCAGATCTACATCCTGATTGCCGAGACCTTCGAGGATATCGCAGAGACACTATCAGGTGCAGGTCCTGAGGTTTACACACAACTCTGTGCCAAAGTCTTGCCTTCGTTGTCAGGAGCCTTTGACGTTGCCAACCTGACCGATGAGAACTCTTTGACGAATCTTGCCGCAGATATGCTTTCAGATCTCGCACAGAACGGTCCCTCACCACTGCCTCAAGGGTTCATCGTCACCATCATGCCCAAACTCACACGTCTTCTTCTCGAGTCTCCCGATGAAGAGTTGCTTAAGGCAGCAACCTCTGCCACTCGGTACATGCTGGAGAAGGACCCCGATCAGATGTTCAACTGGGCCAATCACGATGGCAAGTCCGGACTTGAAGTCATTCTAGTCATCATTGACCGTCTTCTCGGTCCTTCGGTCGAAGACAATGCCGCAGGTGAAGTCGGTGGTCTTGCTGCTGCCCTGGTTGAGAAGGCTGGATCCGATAGACTCGGTCCGTACTTGGCACAGTTATTGAGCGCTGTGGCTCACAGACTCAGTACTGCTACCCAGACACAAATCATTCAGAGTTTGATTCTTGTGTTCGCAAGACTGTCTCTACTTTCGGCCAGAGAGGTCGTCGACTTCCTCGCTCAACTCGCTATCGGTGAAGAGAGCGGTCTGCAAGTTGTCTTGACCAAGTGGCTCGAAAACTCCATCAACTTTGCCGGTTATGATGAGATCAGACAGAAGTAAGTCTTCCCGCATCCATCTGTAGCGCTCGTGACTAATTGATATCCNAGCATCATCGCTCTTTCCCGCCTTTACGACCTTCACGACCCCCGTCTCGACACAGTCCAAGTCAAGGGCGACATGATCATGCCAACGTCCACACGCATCATGACTAGAAGCCGTGCTCGCGCAAACCCTGACCAGTTCACCATCATCCCCGCCCCTCTCAAGATTGTCAAGATTCTCGTCGACGAACTTCTGTCCAACAACGTCTCGCGTAGTGTCGAGACTCTTGCTCCAGCCTCCGAACTCGAGAAAGCAGAATCAGTTGGTAGTGGCGACTCGGACTGGGAAGATGAAGATGGGTTCTTGGACTTGGGTGCTGGCATGACCAAGGAGGCACTGATGGGTATGGTTGCGGATGATATGCCCAGTAGAAGTAGAGATGATGAGACTCAAGGCTTCTTGCTTCAGTGGTTTGGAGTCAAAGCTCAAGAAGAGGGCTTTGGTGCGGTGTTTGGCCAGTTGACTGCCAGTGAACAAGAGAAGTTGAGGTCTATGGCTTAAGAAGTTGAGGTCTATGGCTTAAGAAGTTGATGGAGAAGACGAACAAAATTTGCATCAGCGTACATATTCAGGATTGGCAACACACTAGCACGATCTCTCTAAAGTCACATGCATTCTCTCAAAAGGTTGCTTAGGCCGATTGCCACGGAGTGTGCTCTTGTTGAACCACATGGCTCCCGTGTTCTCGCCACCACCCTGCCTCGAACAACACCATTGTACGCGACAACTCCTGTCACCGTTTCCCTGCCTCAACATCAGCAATCCACAACCTCCAACACATCAACCAAAGCCCCAACAACAGTACAATAGCCACAAGAGCAGCAGCAATGGCATTTCGAACACGACGTTCTGGCGCTTGTCTAGCCACCACAGCTGGAGCAAGAGAATCGAATTGATCGGTATGACTCGCAAAGTCTTGGAAAATATGAGGGTGGAGGTGGGCTTTTGTGGTGATGGCATGTGTATTGGGCTGGTGGTGTCAAGGTGAGAGGAACCTAGTTCGAGGTCTTTTGGGTGTTCTGGGATGTTGGGTGTTGGATACATTTGGATTGATGGATATTCGAGGCTTTTTCTAGGAAAAGGGTTGAAGAAAAGATGGAAAGACGTGTAGAGATGAGAAGAAATTGCAGACCAAGTCATTATATCAAAGAGAGATATTCGAAAGGTCTGTTGGTTTGTCGTACGAGCTTCTCTCAAGTCTTGGCCCTTGTTGAACCTGAGCATGTTCATCCCGGAAGAAGGTCGCCTGACCAAACTCAACGAACATCAAGCTGTAAACGCAGTTGACGTCGCAACACCCTCTCCGCTCCTCCTCTGTAGCTTCGCAGAACTCTCCACCTGTCTAGCTTGAACAGGCTGAAAAGCGATACTCGACTCATCCACCACAACATTTGCAGTCGCGGAGGCAACAACAGATGCGGCCTTTGTGGTCGTCTCCAGTTTCGTAGCTGACCACTCCGTCTTCGTCACCGTAGATATTTCCGTCTCTGTGACTCTCAAAGGGTTTCCATCAATCCCAGCCACTTTGGACAAGAAGTATGCCTGGAAGCCGCCGAGAATACACAGAGCGATCAACAGAGCAGACGAGAGGCAGAACCAGCTCGCGCTGATGGTACCGCGGTCTTTGATGGGATTGCAACGGGTGTTTTCTGGCGATGATGGGGTTTCGTCTCCAACTTTGGTCGCAGTGGTTGTGATGGTAGAGAACAGTCGCTTCTTTTCTGGCTTTGGATTCGCTTTCAGGTTTGCTGCGATCTTGGTGGACACTGGGATCCTGAGGTTTGGGACATCGATGAACTTGGATTGGTTCATGTACATTTCTTTTGAGGAGTGTTTTGACCGAGATTGTCGTAAGAGAACGAACAGAAGTTTAGCGGTTGGCATGCTGGATCGCCTTATAACCTCCAGTCGCTTGTCTGTGAAAATGTGCTCGATGCTCGGCCCAGGTATTTAAAGTCGTGAAGCTCTAAAGTATGTCCATCGTATGAGCAGGATATTGTATATGCTTTACTACTCCCAAGGGACTTTCGTCATCGCGGATACAACATTCTGAGCAGACAGTCGTGATCCAAGCTAATGTCGAAGAGTAGCAAGTCCTGTTCGAGTGAAGCAGGTACCGTTGGTCTAGGGGAGAACTACGGGCTCCTTCAAGCGGCAAGCGCGAAGTATTGTTTCAAGATCTCCCTGCACCCTTGGGCAGAGGCTTGCTCGCTCAAAGCATGGCTTTGTGAGTAGTTTGTATGTTACCTTTTTACGATGCAACCATGAGGATGCTGCACCGCTTCTGCTACCCGGATGACATTTTGATCGCTCTAGAGCTGTTGCACGAATTCAGTCGTCACCTTCAATGTAGATCGGTCTTCATTGTATTTGCTGACAAGATCCATTCGCAGATATATTGTCGAGCAACAATGTCAACTTGTATCACCGTTTGAATCGACAAGCTCTTTCTCAGATCTGGTTTATGGAGCATCGCACCGACGAAGTGTGACTATATCCACCATCGACAACTGGAAGGAGGATGTGTTAACCTGGTTCTCGTGGAAGGAACACCAGTGTCGCGTGCCCACTTGCTCCTTCTCGTCGAAATTTTCCGGTGAGTTTAGCTGCATCACACGCTAAACGGAAGGCGTTCCGTCAACGAGAACCAACAACCTTGATTCCACTATATTTTCCTAAAGAGAGAAGATTTGCATGGGTGTTATTTGCTCCACCGAAGCAAGTGTTGTCGTATGGAGAGAATGTCACTGATAACGATGAAAGCGGTTTGACGATTCAATTGCCAATCGTGCGGATCTTCTGATGTGGTTGCACGCCGGGCTGACATCAGATGACTCTTGCTTTTGTGCAAAGACTTGGAGCAATGACTCGGCAGCCGTGGTCTCGTCCTCGAGAGCTGCACGAATGTTGCAAGATCGTGCAGAAGATCTGGGGAGCATGCAGCACGAGGACGAGTCATTATTATCATGTCGCGCGAGAGCGATTTTCCCAATGGAGAAGCAAACGGTTTGAAGGTAGGTGTTGCCGACGTTCGAAAGCCAATTGGATGACACGAAAGATTGACAAGAGAATTTATTTTGCTCAGCTATCTTCTCGAAGGATGCCAGATGTGTACGAAGATTCAGTCGAGGCTTGCTACGCCCTACGCATGTGGCGACAAAAAGAAGGGTTGGGACGCAAACACTTTCGGCAGTGGCCGCCGCCCGGAAGGATGCAAGGGAAACGTCGTTTCCCGGCAGAGGCTTGAAGCTTGGCAGCTCTTTCTTTGACGTCCATCAGGGTCGCAAACACACGACAGGTGAGCTGCAAAGATATGCTGACCACCACCAGGTCTGAACACGAACAAAAGAAGGTGAGCGCCGAGCACCTGGACGTCATTTACTAGTAGACACTTGCCGGGTATGGGGCGGACAAGACCGGTTCACTGGCGACAGCGAGCCGGGACCCGCTATACAGGGCGCGAACGGGCTTTTTGATTTTTCATAACCAAATTTTTGCTCTAGCGCGTCAACGACGGATGACTACGACCACTTTCTTACGTACATATATCCAACCCACAGGGCAGCTCAAGTCCGACCTTTGACATCTTGTCTTTCACCATCTCTATACCCCGCCTGTTGCTTCGAAGGGTTCGATTAGGTTGTTGGACACGTGCGCCACTACCTATTGCCATCTCTTGAATCACCTTTCTCATTCCACATACCGCCGTCATGTTCTCTTCGGAGAAGAAGGAGGCTAGCATTGGCGCAAAATCCGTGCAAGATGGACCATACCACTCATCGAGCCCCAGCTCAATCTCCCACGAAGATGTCGAGGGTTCGCCAGTTCCAGGCACGACAGTGCAGCTCAAGCGTAGACTGCAGTCGCGTCATTTGCAGATGATTGCTATTGGTACGGAAGTCGCGTTCCTGCCTTGTCAAAAAAAACACATTTCTGACATATGACTCTTTCTAGGTGGAACAATCGGTACAGGTCTCTTCATCGGTTCTGGAGGCGCACTCGCAAATGCTGGACCTGCCGGCGCATTGATCGCATACGCCTTTGTCGGTACACTCGTGTACAGCGTCATGGTCGCCCTGGGCGAAATGGCCACTTTCCTCCCCGTTTCCGGCGCCTTTACAGCATACGCATCCCGTTTCGTCGACCCTAGTCTTGGGTTTGCCATGGGCTGGATCTACTGGTTCTCATGGGCCATGACTTATGCGCTCGAGTTGACTGCTAGCGGTCTGATCATTCAATACTGGGACGCCGACCTCAACATTGGGATTTTCATCGGCACATTCTGGGCAGTTATATCGCTCGTCAACTTCCTTCCTGTCTCCTTTTACGGCGAGGTTGAATTCTACTTCGCGAGTTCGTGACGTCGCTGTGGTGTTCCAGAAGTTATGCTGACCCATTTTTCAGGTATCAAAGTCCTCACGGTGATCGGATTCATGATTTTTGCTATTTGCGTCGATGCAGGAGTTGGACAACACGGATACCTGGGCTTTGACACATGGAAGAACCCTGGCGCCTTCGCGCCTCATATCGTCGAGAACAACGAGGCTGTCGCCAAGTTTGTCGGTTTCTGGGCTGTTTTGATCCAGGCCGGTNNTTTCTCCTACCAGGGAACCGAGCTCGTCGGTATCGCAGCTGGTGAGACCAGCAACCCTCGCAAGACTGTCCCTGCCGCCATCAAGAAGACTTTCTACCGTATTGTCTTCTTTTTCGTTCTAACCATTTTCTTCATTGGTCTTCTGGTTCCCTACGACAACCCAGATCTCGTTTCCGACCACACCGATGCATCCGCCTCGCCTTTCGTTATCGCTGCAAACCTTGCTGGCGTAAAGGCGCTCCCTAGCATCATTAACGCAGTCCTCCTCTGCGTTGTCCTCAGCGCCGCCAACTCAAACGTCTACTCTGGCTCGCGTATTCTCGTCGGTTTGGCCGAGCAGGGCTCCGCACCCAAATGGATGGGCCGCACCACTGCCAGCGGAGTCCCTTACTTCGCCGTTGCCTTTACCGCCGCCTTTGGTCTCCTCGGTTTCATGAACGAATCCAACTCTGGCGGTCAAGTTTTCAACTGGCTCGTCAACATCACTGGTGTCGCCGGCTTCATCACCTGGACCTGCATCAACATCTCTCACATCGCATTCATGCGCGCCCTCGCCGCCCGTGGTGTTTCCCGCGATACCCTTCCCTACAAGGCAATGTGGCAGCCCTTCTTCTCTTGGTACGGCGTCTTCTTCAACATCTTGATTATCCTCACGCAAGGATTTACTTCGTTCATGCCTTGGAACACCAGCGACTTCTTCATCGCATATGTTTCGCTGATGTTGTTTGCTGCCTTGTATGCTGGCCATAAGCTTGTTTACCGTCAACCTTTTGTCAAGCCCATCGAGGCTGATCTCGATACCGGTCGTAAAGAGATTGAGGAGATGCACTTTGAAGAGGCCGAGCCCGTTGGTGCTTGGCAAAAGTTCTGGGCTTGGATGGGTTAAGGATGGTTTGGTTGCATTTCTGATTTTAGGTTTCAATGTTTTGTTGCAATGTTTCTTGTTTATAATTTTCTTTGGGAAAGACATACCCGGACGGAAGGGAAAATCATGGTAGCATTGATAGATGAGCCTATAGATTTAGATGGTTAGATTTGATGATGAATGAAGAACGATATACTTTCAACTTCTCCTCACGAGATACTCTTTGTTTTTTTGCCATATAATATTGTAACCATTATGTTGTTCCATAGCCCAGTTCCGAAGAGAATGATGATCTAGCATGTATGTCGCGGCTCGGCAGGGGAACATACTCTGTTTGACAATGCTACATGTAATTCTCTGTCGAGGGAGTCCATACGTGTTAAGCTATGTTTTCGCGTGCGATTCCATCCTCAGTCCTATCGTCGTCAGGTTTCAATGTCGTCGGAATCTTCTCCCAACAGAACCTGTCCATTCCCCCTGCCAGTCTCCCTCATGAGCGCCTCAGCTATGTCTGAATCGTAGCCAAAAGTCTTCTTGATGATGTCGATACCAATACTTACAGCTTTGCCTTCTATCATCTTGTTCATAACATCCGCGACATCTCTCGGCGTCTCACTCGTGTGTTTTGCATCGTTTGCGAAAGATTTGTTGCCATCTTCTTTCCATTACCGCTGCGGACCCCAGAATAGCAAGGACCATATTTGGAATAGGTAGACAATAGAGACGGCTCGGCGTATTGAAAGGGTACAAGTTGGGATTCAAGTCGAATGAAGGACTTGATCGGTATGGTGTATGTACGTGACGAAGCTGTTTTGTGGGGGCCAACTCTTTTGCATTGGGGAGCGGCGGCGGCGGTCGAGGCAGCATCACTGAGCACCTCGGGAGAAAACCCACATCGCGTGGCTGTGGTCGCGAGCCGGTTGGCGATTGCGTCTATGTCTCTCTTGCAAATCGTATAGGTGTCTTGAAGATAGTCGGACAACATGTTCGACGATAGAAGTGCGGCAGCGGTCAGAGAGGAGTTGGTCGATGAATCTGTGATCAAGGACAGCGAAGGCACAAGTCACAGACAGCAAGTCGAGATGTTGGAATGGAGGTGCGAACTGTGCTTGTAGACGGAAAGCGTCGTTTGTAGAAGCAACCTACTTACACACGTCGCTCAATACACACGCCAGACTCGGTTCAGAGACGGATGCATCTTCCTCGAACGATGACCAAACGGAAACTGTATTGTCTCGATTTCCGTTGCTCCTCCCTAATCGAAATTCACAGACATCTTGCTCGTCCCCTTCTTCTTCTTCTTCGCCAATCTACTCGGTCTACTTTTCCTGTCTTCATCGTCGCTTTTGCTCGACCTCCTTTCATCCTCGAAGCGTACCTTTCTCGCAGCGCGCTCTACCAAATGTGCAGGCATGTCATCTTTGGGCCATGGCTTCTCATACGAAAATGCTCGGTATGTGGGCACGCTTCGAGGTCTGCCATGCTCTTTTGACGATGCAGATTGTTGTTGTTTTCGTGGTGCAGAAGTATGACTGTGATGCGCAAGTTCGACCCCAGAGTCCATTCGGAGACGTGTTGGATATTGGTATGGTTGAGCAGAGGACGTAGGCCTTCCAGNACTGAGGTGACCTGGCCTGCGACGACTGGGGTGGAGTCTGACGAGAGGTATCGTGCATTCGCTGTTGCTCCGTCTCTTCCCTTTCGGNNGCTGATGATAAGACTGACGGTTTGTGTTTCCCGAGCTCGAGGTAGGGAGGCTGGTGTAGGATGAGCTCGATGATATGCAAGGTGTCTCTTGTACGAGTGTCCTTGGAAAGCCACTGAGCAGATACTTTTGGCTTTCACCTTGGTGCCCTGCTTGTAGAACAAGCGCTATCGTGGTGGAAGCCATCGGATTCGGAACTTGAATGTCGATGTGAGGTATCCTCAGCATACCGTAAGTGATCAGCTCGGAGATTACCCGGTCTGTAATCTTGACCTTGATATCTCTGCCGGACGCGCATCTCGACATGTCCTGAATACTAAACTCTGGCCTAAATCTTGAGGTACACTGCTTCGAGAGAAACTCGCCTAGTGCTTTCAGATTGGACGAGCCTTCCTCAAACTTGCAGCAGATATATCCCCTACACTCAAAGCTTCCACCACATTGTGGCACCGTGTCCACTAGCTTGAAGTAAANAGAGCTTGCCACAAGAGAGCAAGCAATACTGTTCGTCATCTCCATAACATCAGGATCTTTGAGTCGCTGTCTTACATTGGCTCGGAACTCGTGATACTTGTCTTTGGCGTCGAAAGGAGGTGGCTTGCTCTTGAAGTCCAAATTGAAGCGTATATAAGGGCTGGCAAAGTCATCGTTTTGGTCGTTGATGTCGGCTTTGAAATCAGTCCAGGCGTTTTCGGCGTCGAGTATGTTATCGAAACGCTGATACAAGGCTCCTAGAGTTTGGAAGATGCCTCCTGACTTGTGTATTGTGTCATCCTCTTTAGAGCTTGATGAATGTCGTTTGGACACTTCTCGTCGTGCTTCGGACAAAGTTTTGCCGGTGCCGATAGACAGTAGTATATCAGGATGTTTGTTCGCAATTTCTGGCCACAGAAGCTTTCGTTCTCTGTTCGCAACATGTATAGGATTGTTGTGGTAGAGCCCTCCATCGATGTAGCTCGCTCCAGTCTTTTTGTGGGTGTAAGGCTTGAAGTATAATGGTGCCGCAGAAGTGGCTGCTGCTGCCTCCCAAACCTCAAGCTCATCTGATGCGTCTTCTGGTCTGACAAAGGTCTGGCGATCTCCTGAGCTCTTCGAACGGTTGTAATTGGCCAAGATCATAGCTTCTTTTCCATCTGCAGAAGTGGTCGTAACAGCAACTTTGGTCTTGAAAGCATTCAAGGAATTGTTGCCACCAAACAGAGGATTGTGACCGAGCGTCTTTCGCAGAACATCGTGAAGAGGTGTTGCCTTGTATTTACTGCCATGGTTCAACAAGGCAGCCTTCTCCAAACCCCATACACCTCCGAACTCTCGCTCGGTGAATGCTTTGTCGCAGAAGTTTTCGAACATCTCGATGCAATAGCGTACGGACCATTGCTTGACTCCCAAAGCCAGAGCGTTGATTCCTCCTGTGCTTGTGCCGACGATCAGATCGAAGAGAGACTGGATCCGTATATTGCTCCCCAGAACTTTCTCGATCGCACGCAGAACTTCGAGCTCCATGATACCTCGCATGCCACCACCGTCGAGGGACATTACTCGTATACCCATCTGATCAGATCGATAGAAGACTTCGCATGGCGGATCGAATCTGGTGTATGTATGTAGCGGACAACACTCCAGTGATATCCTGCCATGGCCTTTCTTCCCGCAATTTCGGATGCAGCTGTCACAAAGCACATGTCCACACGGCAAGGGGTGCAACGGTAGATTGACCAGACAGCCAAAGCAACTCGCATGGCTGATGAAAGAAGCAGCTGTTCCTATATCCGTGAAGAAGGCGTTCATCTGTTCGAAATGCAAGTAGCTCGCAGCACTTCTGGCATTCTCTTGGGGTTCCTCTTCCAAGAATTCGAGGTAGTCGAGTTCGCACATGTCGAGTATTTTCTTGAGAAACGATATCCATTCTGGTAGATACGACTCCGCAGTGATACTGGCTCGGTAATGACCCGAGCCGATAGTCTTGTCGTCTCTAGTACGATGTTCCGTGCCATGAGATAGTCTTGTGCCAAAGCATGGACGATTTGAGCGATCCATAAAAGAGCACATCAGATGGTCATTGCAAAAGGCTTGCAGCATGTGTTCTAGACATGGTTGGTAGTATTCGACAAAGACGTCCTTGATNNCCTCCCTAGCATCCGTCAGCATCCCTGTCGGTGGTTGTCGGCATGTTTAATCACCTCTGCGGTTGCGAATACAGTCATAGAAGACACACGACGCTACTAAGCGTCCCAGAAACTGGAGGATTTGCTTAGAAGATGTGCCTGGGGGCTGTTGCCTCTGTATCTGTATTGCAAGTCGAAGTGCATGTTCGTCAATATTCGATCCTCTTGTTCGCGCAACCCCACTACACCTTCGTGACTGGCAGGTTGTTCGTCGAGTTAGATCACACATTAGATATCGTTATGGTAGCAAGGCCGTCTCAGTACACTACACCCAAAGAAGGATGAAGATCAGCAAAAACACAAAGACACACTGAGAGGGAAACCAACAGTTTTTGACATTCTAACCTGACGTTTCGAAGGTTTGGTAGAAGACCCCATAGCTGCCGCGGACGGCTGTTTTGGGGCCCTGCCATGTTCAACCCTGATGTAACAACAAAGTGGTCCCGACTCAGGCAAAGCCATGCCTGAACGGTCTCTTCATCAAGGCATCCGGAAGAGCCGAGACGGAGAGAGAGACTCCTTTGCGGTACGGTAAGGCTGAATTTCTTGCATGTTTTGCTGCACGGCGTAGCCAACCTTAAATGTGATAGAGCCCATGATCCTGGTAGGCGGATGCCTGAGTTTCGGTGCTGTCGCTTCAGCTCTCGTTCGCTACCAGCGTGGAATCCATGTCACAGCCACCGACTGCAATGAGCCGACCATGTAATCATTGATAGCGTTCAGGCCAAAGTCTTCAAAGAATGAAAGACACGAATAAGTGACGGCACCAAGACTTGAGGTCCACTTCGCTCAAAGGCCGAGGAGGCGTTACGTACTCGGTCGCGCCAAGCCCTCACCATCGAGTTTGGAAACACCATCCGAGTCGAGTTCACTGGTGGATATAAACCTGGAGAGGCCTCGGAACGGGACGACGGATTAAGTTCGAAGTCGCAAAGGTGTCGAGACATGTTGAAGCATGTGAAAGGCAGAAGACGGGAGCTCTGGACATCACCACTGTGCGAAAGTCCGGCACTCCCAAGTCACCTGCATAGCCAGAAACGCATGGCGCACAGAGCCATGCTTAATGGCAGCTGAGAGGCGGCGCTGTGCGAGATACGAGAGGAGCTCCTGTAGAGTCTGTAGACAAGCCACAAGTGCTCTCGCTCGACGTCTTTCGGTGGCTCCGACAGGCAGAGTAAGCAGCCATGCGAAACCGAGAAGCACCCCGCGGTGTCCATCCTTGTCACCCTCAAAGTGAAAGCTCCGGCCCAGTCATTTCCTCGGCCTGAAAGAGCTGACAACTCTAACACATGCCTACTCTTGGACACGACAAGTGGTGCAGAAGACTGATTGACGTTGTTGAAGTGTGTGAAATCAATTTCAAGTATGCTACAAAGGCGAAGGGCAATCCGTTACGACCCCGACCATGCTCCTGATAATATATAAATCATTCTCTTTCGTGTGTTGCTGGATGTTTCGACGCGCGCAAGTCTTTATGGAGTGAAAGTCTTTACTTCTTCTGCGAAGCGAGCTTCTCGGTCTCCTTCTGCAGTTGCTTTATCGTGTCGGCGTCGGCCTTGATGTCACCTCTGTCTGCCTTGACCTGTGGTAGAGTATGTTAGCTTTTGCATGTATAGACAGTTGAACACCAATTGACACTTACAATGCTCTCGCTGTCACTGGCAATCTCCTCGTGCCATTCACCCTTGCCCTCCTTCTGCTTTCTGATCTGCTCGTTCTTGATTCTCTCGGCCTCGTCAGCGCGACCCTCCTGGTCTGGTACAAGAGTTAGCTATGTGCGCTCGAGGTGTGCCAGGTGTTGTATTGCGCCATGCCGGTGCCAATAAAGACATGGTATGGACAATGGCTGGCAGAAGCTCAGGGAGACTTACTNGAGAGCGCTCTCCTTGCCGACTCTCAGAACGGGTGCGGTCTGGAAAGAACGGACGGGGGCAGAGACCAAGGCTCTTCTGGCGATGAAAGATCTGGAAAGCATGATGATTGATGTGTTGTGTTGTCTGATGAAATTGTTGGTAAACACGTCAGAGCGGACAAGGTGGAGGAGCTTCGAACCTGGAGCTGAGCTGTGTTTGACGAAGATGATGTTGCGGGTTTTTCTGGAGAGAATTGGTTGTTTTGCGAGTGAGTTGTGGAAGTGATGGAGAAGAAGAAAAGAAACAGAAAGGAGATTCGCAACAAAAGAGCTGAAAGACTTCACGATGACCGTCCCTCGGTTGTTCGCTGATCGTACCTGTCGACTCTCCTCCAATCCGGGTCAGCCACTACGTCACTGGTGGTAGCTTTCAATTGCATCGCACGATTACGAGCTCCATCCACTTGCCGGCCATATCGTCCTTTTTCGTGCACGTTTTTCATCAAGTCGTTCATGAGAGGAACAATTTTATGCTCTGAGACGAATTATTCAGACTCATCGTCTCTCAACTGCTTATGCTGACAGAAATCCATCTGCCATTCAAGCATGTCCCCACCCAGCCAAGCTTCTCTCCCGCTCAACTCAAGGCGAGAACGAGGCTGAGTCGATTGGTTGCTAAAATGCAAGGTCCCATTGCATTACGCAGCAGCTGGACTTGACAGGCCAACATCCTCAATACTGAAAACAAGAAACAGGCACAGGATTGACTGTAGAGGTAAAAGAGCTTGTAGTTTTCCGTTGCCCAAACTCGACACCAGCATGATCAACAAGACCAGCATAGCGAGAGAAAATCGGTAAGAGGAGAGGAAAAGAAAAAGTTGACAAGAGATACGAAATAGCGAAAGAGCAAAANNAACAACTCCCAGTTCCCCAGAATCTTGGTATAACCGACAAGTACTCCTTTCTCGCTCGCTCGACGACNNGACGATTGTTGTTGTTGCCAAACCATAACTCAAATAACAAAGACACCGAATCTCCGCCNNCCCGACCGGCCATGAANNAACCTTTCTTTCCCTGTGTGAGAGTCGTGAACAAGAAGAGNNAAAGGGGTGTAAACAGCAGAGCAAGCAGAAACCCCAAGCATGCGTGAATATATGCCTGCGCCCANNACAAGTCAAAGAATCCGACTGAATGTGCATCGTGTGGTTTTCGTTCATCCCGTTCCCCACCAAGTGTAACACCGTGCGCTTTGTTGCGAAAGAAACATCAACAAAGGCTTTATAAGAAGTCCGAAAATGCAGAAATAACCAAACAAGAAAGTAAACCGATTATGCCCTTTTCATGACGATAATACGAAAACGCCGTTCGTCTAGGATCCAGAGGGCTCCGCAATCCAGTGGTATATGTGTGAAAGCATCGTAAATCTGTACAGTCGCAGAATTAAAAAATGTGTGGCCGTATAGTCGTCCGGTTTGTTCCGGAGGATGCGCCCCGCCAGCCCTAGACAGAAACTGCGCCGCGAATAGAGTCGTGAAAGGGAATTAGTCATTTCTCTACCAGCGGCGCTGGTTGATGTATCCCTGCATCTGACGGGCCGGCGAGACACTTGGGGGTGGGCTTGCGATGACGCGAGTGCTGGGGTCAACAATGGGAATAGCATTGCGGGTACGCTGGGCCATGGGCTGGTGGAGCTTCATCTGGTTCTGCTGGAAAGAGTTGTTGTTGTAAGAGGCAGCGGCAGAGGGGAGCAGGAAGGGAGTAGGCTGAGCTTGGTGCTGCAGCGGAGAGGCATCAGGAGAACCAGACGACAGAGATGATCTGTCGGAAGAGGCGGAAGAATGAATAGAGTGGAGCTGTGAATGGTATGAGCATTGATGATTGGAATATAGCAAGACATGTATCGANNAACTTACATCGTCCTCGGTCAGGAGGTGGAAGGGGCAGAAAACCTCGTCATCCTCAAACTCGAAGCCCTTGGCAGCCTCAAAGTCTCTGATGTATGCGCTGTAGGCGGGTGTCTCAGGGAGCTCTTTGGGGCTTCTTTGGGCCTTGAAATGCTGTTGACGGTGGGCATTCTGTGCCGAAGAGACACGAGGCCCGCGGCGCGAGCGACCGTGGTGATTGTGAGAGGNGTGAGGGTGCGACTGCATAGCAGTAGCGTAGTGAGGAGCGCCGTAGTGGAAGTTTGACATGGTTGCAACTGAGGTATTGATATCGATCGAGGGGTGTGCGAGAGAAATCCGTGTCCAAAGCTCGGGGGGATTGCGGTTGATCGGAGGTGGCCGGAAGCGATATATCACAACAATGAGCAAGTAAGAGTGATATAGAGGGGTCGGATGAGTTCGAATAAAGGCGTAGGTTTTGGAAAAATTGGGGTGGTGTATTTGCGGAAATGCGACAGGGAAAGTGATGATTGTGAAAATGGGATGCGAGAGATATGGAAGAGGATGGAGGGTTGTGGGATTGGAAAACGAGGGAGGCGAAGGAGGTGAGTGGATACCCGGCCTTGTCGAGGCGCCACCAGCCATGCACCAGTCCGGATACAGTAAGGCTGGAGACCCAGACGATGCACGATCAACGCACAAAGACGCTGAAAGCAGCCTACAAGTCACGAGCTGCCACGGCAACCCACCTGCCTATGACGAGCCCTACTTGCCTATTCTCCCCTCTGCTTGCGGTACGGGGAGCCTACAGCGTCGCTGCTTTTGCGACGTTCGCAGAGAGTGCTTGCAGCTTGTCGCGCGGTCAGCCGTAGCAGCAGTGGTGTCGCCGGCGACGATCCACCTTGTGAACGCATGCACTGCATCATGGTCGAGCGCCAACCGGCTGCATTGATTCCATGCACGCCACAAGTCCGCTGAGACAAGGGGAGAGACACGACTGCGCTTGGCGGCATGGCCGTCAGAGTTTCCTTCGACCCCTCACCAATCCCACCCGTTCTTTCACCGCCTCGACTCGTTCTGGGGAAAGCTTGCCATCCGTGACAGAATTGCTTTTGGGCTCGAGCCCTTTGGGTCTGTCTCTTCGACTGTTGTTGCAACTCCGTGCTTCTCCCCCAGTGACACCGCCAACGTCTATCGATGTGGTCGAGGCGGTGCGGTGTTGGGCGTGCATGGTGCCTCAGTCCTGCCACCGCCAGAGCCATGTGTTCATTTGAGCTACCCTCACCCAGCCCATTTCGATTGCTAATTCAGGAGCCGCTTGCAAATGCAGCTCCTGCGTCTGTGGCAGAGCGCATGTTTTGATTGCGAAACAATGAAACCCCTCGATTGAAATCTTGAATCCGGGGCCGAGAATGTCAGATTCCCATCTATTCCTGCTGCCGGCAATCCTTGAGCTTCTAGAGACAAAGCATCAGGCGGTGGTACGCACGTACATGTACTCGTAGGCGCTTAGATTGAGCCTCATCAATGTGTTGATTGGTCGTTGATGTTTAGCATCGCTGTCTGATCGACTTCATCGCTCTGAATAGCTTTAACCCCTGGGGCTCAGCCCTTCATCTCTTGCACTCGTACTCATTCGAATAGCTTTCTCCTGTTGGCCTTGGCCTCGTACTTGCAAGACGTTGTTCCTCGCTCCTTTCTCGGGTTGCGACAGCAATGCTTGAACATGTTCATTGTTCGAGCAGATCAGTGCTGCGACAACCAACCTCAACACTTGCATCGCCATTGTCAATGCCGAATGCTTCTCCGCACGTAACCTAATATTCCATATCGTCTCGAACAAGAGCTTGGACTGAGTGATCGCGTCAGCCGTTTCGGTTGCAGCAACGGGAACGGCAAGATGCTATGGCATCCAGATGGTATGGGGTTCAACACCTCACCCATACACGATAAACATTCTTTCGCCATCATGCTGCGGCTTATGATTGTGGGGTTGATTTGGTCGACTTGTGCCTTTCGCAAGCCTTCATAGTTTTTTCGTCACAACGTCTTCAATATCTTGCGTATCTCGCACCCTGTCTGAATGTATATCCACCACAAAGTCAACTTTTGCCATTGCAGGCGTATGACTAGCGACAGACCACGCTATACAATCGAAATGATATACCATCCACTGCAATGATAAGATAGTACATCTCAGGGCGTCCGTACCCGTGCGAGTGACAACATTAGAGTCATGATACGTTTGCGACAGGGTCGTACTATCAGCACCTGAATTTTGCCGAATGGCAAAAGCAGATAAGAAGGATCGGAAGCTAAGAAGATAATCACAGCAGCGTCTCCAAGGTCCCTTTTCAAGTTTCTTGGGGTATACTCCCTCTCTTCGAGTAATGTCGTGTAGCCTTTTACAGCTGGAAGCACTGCTACATACGTCATGAGAAGGCGGTCCAACACGAGCCTGATAAGTTTGAGCACTGTCGAATGAACAGGACTATGGATATGGCTCATGATGGCTTGAAAGTCATGATTGAGTAAACCTTCATGGGTTTGCTGCACATGGCGGTGATCTCGGCGGCGGAGCGTTTTGGCGAGGACGAGGACGAGGATGATGATGATGATGATGATGATGATGAAGACGACGAAGAGTCCGAGGTCGATGGCGTTTGGCGTGGCACATGCTATTTGCCAAGCTGAGCATCCTTCATAAATCTCGTGATGCCTTCCTTGCAAGCCCTCTCTTGGTAGTTTTCCCAAACCTCGTAGAGGCTGATCAGCTCTTGGGTGGCGGCCATGCAAGCGTTCACATCAATATCGCTCTCTGCCATCCACTGAGTCATCTTGGCGATCTTATTAGGATTTTGCATTGCACTCTGTAAGGCTGCGGCACTGGTGGCAGCAGCATGAGCCTGCAGATTCGACTGAGTTGGGCGCAAGACGACGGCCAGGAAGATAGCTGTCACAGCGATGATGTGTGGTGGATACATCAGAGGCATGTCAGTGTTGTAGTGATCGTTGATGATGTTCTGGGATAAAGCCATCTCATCGGTAGATAAGTTCAAGCCGGGGGCTAGATCGTTGAGACTCCGGTACGGGTGGTGAATTATCATGCGCGCCGACATCGTACTGATGAGATGAAACTCGCATTCGCCAATCTTGGAGATGTCGTTGATGCCTAGTTCAGGCCATTGCCTCGCAGCCTCGGCCAGCACCAACCTGATGTGTATCGGACATTCTTCGACCTTGCAAGCAACATAGACAGCTGTCGTCATGACGAGATATGGATTCGTCCTTCGAATGTCGACTCTTGTATAGAACCGTCGGACGTATATTTGAGCCGTGGCGAGCGGTTGTTGTCTGACATTCATTCTTCGGCCAAGTTTTATTATTTCNNTGTCGTCGGATTAATTAGAGAGTCCATGTTTCGGTATGTCGGGGGACTCACGCTGCTGTATATAAATGTTCATCAGACGTGGCTCAGGTATAGGAAATCTGCTGTGTAGTTCCTGGTTGTCTTGTTGCTGCTGAGTACGCATATCATCAAGCTGGTCCTTGGTGAAAGTCCACCATGTCCGCTGCGTCGAATCCCAGTAGTTGGCCGCCATGGTGGATATTATGTGCCTTGATAATTGCAAAATTAAGTTTACTAATGGAGCAAATGCGAACTGATAATTTCAAGGTTTTATGTCCTGGACGTCGTTTAGAGGGTGTATCTATCTTGTCAGACTACCACGACTTGTGCTGGAGGCAGCGCCAAGGCGACGCTCAGCTGCGGAAAGAGCGAGCGATGGAGAGAGTTTTGGAAGCATCCCGACACTTGGTCTGATGAGTCCACCTACACGCGAATGCTGATAGCCTGTCTACGATATAGAGAGGTATGAATATGCGGCAAGATCTTGGATGCTGGTCGTGTTATTTCCGGCGCGGTCAGCAATTCCAAGCTTGGACGTGATACAGTGGCGCCAAGAAAGGAAGGAAGGAAAAGCGTCATAAGTCAGGACAGCGGGGATGAGGCCTTTTCGGTTGTTCGAGGCTTAATGCGAAGAACAAGATAACACGCTTTTCACCTCGCATCCATCCTTTGCTGTCGTGCTGCGCTCGCTGTCGAAGGAGCGCTCGTTGCTGGAGAATCCCCTGGCGCATCGTGAAACCCCCTTTTACCGGTCTATCAGAGCCATGAAACCGAGATAGCCCAAACTTCAACAGACGGCAGACCATGGATGCCGAATCACCCGCCGAGAGGGAGAACAGGACTCGCTCCCTGTGGAAGAAGCTGGACACACAGAACGAGGGCTTCCTCGACTTCAAGGCCTTCAGGAAGGGCCTGAAGAAGCTCGATCACCGTGAGCATCCGTCCCGACCTGCTTGTGCCGATAGATGGCTGACACGCGTCAATTGCNNAGCTCTGAAGAATGCAGATGGCTTGATCGAAGATGTGCTGCAGGCTGCCGACATCAACAACAGTGGTCGCATCGAATACGATGGTCAGCATGAAGCCTGCCAATCCCGAACAAACCACCCGCTGACCCGACAANNAGAGTTCCGCAAATTCGTCGACCAGACCGAACGAGAGCTCTGGCAGCTCTTCCAGAGCATAGACCGCAACCATGACGGCAACCTCGACAAGGGCGAGTTACGCGCTGCTTTTGTGCGTGCCGGCCTGGCCGTGCCCAACTCGCGCCTCGACAGCTTCTTCGACGACGTCGATACGGACAACGACGGCGTTATCAACTTTGGAGAATGGCGGTACGTCGTCAGAGCCATAAAGAGTTGGTCTGAGACTAATGACAAGCAGNNCGACTTCCTCCTGTTCATGCCCACCGGCACGCCCGGACTCAAGGCCGTCATGTCATATTACCAGTCAGCCATGAAGGTGACTCAAGAGGGCGATGTGTCGGTCAGCGATGAGACAATTCAGGGACTAGGTACTGCAACCTCCTTTCTTAAGCACTCGCTCTTTGGGGCCATCACCCGAATTGCTTCACCACCACCACCAGCACCCTCACCACCTCAAGCTACGCAGCCCGCAAGCAATCCACCTCTCCCGTCACTCCACAAAGAAGCCGCTGTTGTCTCTGATCATGACGACCGATCATATGCATCGCGTGCCCAGGACTTTATGAGCATGCTGACGGAGTTCGTCCCTGATCCAGGCTATTTCCTGGCTGGCGGCATATCAGGCGTCGCTTCGAGAACCACCACCGCCCCTCTTGACCGTCTCAAAGTCTACCTCATCGCACAGACTGGCACCAACGAAGCCGTGCAAGCCGTCAAAAGCGGTGCACCCACTGCTGCAGCAAAGTCGAGCGCGAACACTTTGGTCAGAGCCTGCAAAGAGCTTTGGGCTGCAGGCGGTATCCGTAGTCTATTTGCTGGTGAGTTCTCCTCTCGAATGGTGTCTGAATTTTGCTGATTGTCTCAAAAAGGCAATGGTTTGAACATCGTCAAGGTCATGCCCGAATCTGCCGTCAAGTTCGGCTCGTACGAGGTAAGTGCTAGCGTCTTTCCTGTAGGAATAATTCTGACATCCAGTCCANNGGCTGCGAAGAAGATGGTCGCACGATTCGAGGGACACACAAACACACGAAAGATCTCACCAGTCTCGCAATTCATTGCGGGCGGTGTAGCGGGAATGGTTTCACAAGCTGTCGTCTACCCTCTCGACACGCTAAAATTGTAAGCTGATACCAGAGTTTCCAGTTGTAGCAGAGTGCTGACCTGTAACAGCCGAATGCAATGCGAGACTGTACCAGGAGGTCTCCGTGGAACAAAACTCATCGCCGCGACTGCCGTCAAGATGTGGGGTAAGAACGGCATCTTCTCCTTCTACCGCGGCCTACCCATGGGCCTTGTTGGCATGTTTCCCTATGCGGCTATCGATCTGGGCACCTTCGAGTATCTGAAACGCACCATCACCGCGTACAATGTTAAGAAATACGGAGGACACGAGGCCGATGCTGCACCTAGCAGCTTCGCAACAGCTCTCATAGGTGGCTTCAGTGGTGCCATTGGCGCGTCCGCCGTCTATCCCCTGAACCTGCTCCGAACCAGACTGCAGTCGCAAGGCACTGCCAGCCATCCCCGTACTTACACGGGCATCATGGACGTCACCAGACAGACCCTTGCAGGAGAGGGTGTCAGAGGTCTCTTCAAGGGCCTCACGCCCAACCTGCTCAAAGTTGTGCCAGCCGTGTCCATCACCTACGTCGTTTACGAAAACACCAAGAAAGCCTTGAACCTTCGCTGATTAGCGAACCACAAAACATTATATCGACTGCTTTACGAACGAGATACCCACACACCCTCTCCCCTCACAGCATGGCATTGCCAGCACTCTGTACTTTGCAGTCTACCTCTTACGATCGGAACCTGTCACATTCCAAAATCCTCCGTCCATCAATGCATTGCGCAAGGCGCTACAATGGAGTTTTCTACTTTGTTCTTTCGGGGTTTCGTTTCTTGAGTGGCAGAAGTCCTGAGTTGGTTTCGACTCTTCAATCAGGATATTGAGATGAACAGGACTGCTTTTTTTTTCGCTCTGCGTTTGCCAGCAATTGGCGTATTGTATCATCTGTTCCATTATAAACTTCTGTTTGTGTTTTTGACCAACCTACAATTTAGACCTCAGGAGTTTATGTGCTCAATTCTATCATATTCCCTCATCTGACTTGTCTCTCAGCTCATATGTGTGGGCGATCATGGTGAGCTATCCAAGCTGCAAAATAGCCTTCACATTAGGAGTGTGACCATGAAGAGTCCCCTCGAACGCTATAGAAACCACACTTTGCCTTGGTCATCGCGTCATCTTCCACAAGCACCATACAAATTTACGCACATGGACAACATGAAGCAAGATTGAGCAAGTTTGTGAACATGAAAATTTGTGAGATTTTAAGCCTACGGCAATTGTTCTTCAGCCTGACAGACGCAGTCTTCGTAGATGACCTTTTGCCATTCCAATTCCTCTTCTCGAACATCAGACATGGAGAACAGCAGAACCAGAGCGCTTTTAGCAAGTCTTCGTTCGAATACCATGTCGACTCCACACGACACTTCTGCCATCAGCGTTGATCAAACATGGCTCAGAAGAGTTCGGTTATGGTTCAAAGTCAACTTCAAAGCCATTTGCAAGAGATCTCGACGGAAGCGGAAATCTTGTACTCCAACAGATGGCTCTGGGATTCACAAGCGAAGACGACTCAGTGTCTTAGATAGGGCTGCCGAGGTACTCCTTCAGCCAGAATCTCTGGATTTCATACACTCAGACTCCAGTAAAGACCTACAATCAGGCTCCACGAAACCCCTCCAACCAAGCCCAGCCCCAAACCTCATGGACCTCCCCCTCGAACTCCGCCGAGAGATATACACCCACTACATGAACGCCCACCCCTCAACACCAAACCTCCCTCTCCCAGCGTTACTGCACACCTCCCTCCAGATCTGCCACGAAGTCTACTCAATCCTCGAATGCATGTTTATCTTCCGCCTCTTCAACGGTTCCTGCGGGCCCTACCACTCCAAAATCGAAACGGCGAGATCGGCAGCAGAGGACCTTGAGCTTCTGTATCAGAAATTTGAGGCTAAAAATGTGAGGTTGTGTGTGGAGTTGCAGTGTAAGCATACTTCGCTGTCGTTGGACATTTTGCTGGATCCTGTTGTGCGGATCGTTGGGGAGAGGAAGATGCCAGAGGTGGAGGTCTATATGACTGAGGGGGAGGGGTGTGGTATGTGCAGGCCTTTAATTCCGAACCTAATGCTATGGTTCGTGTCAAGGAGTATGTGAGGCGTGTGGAGAGCTGGAGAGATGGGGGAGGTGTGAGGTATGGTGTGCAGCTTCGATGTACTTGCAAGGGCAGGAACTTGGAGTAGTTTCTCTCCATATTTTCAAGTCTGTCGACTAGGCGGAACCCATCTGAAGACTGTGCCCCACGGACAAAGCACAAGGGAGAAAAGTGGTGCTTCAGGTGCAAAAAGGAATGCTGTCTATGGGAGTCGAACCCATGACCTCTGCCTTTCCTTGATCACCAGAGTTGCCTCTAGATGGGAGGGCAGCGTCTTAAACCACTAGACTAAGACAGCAACTTGATAGTATTGGCTTGAAATCTGATCTTGTTGTAGTCTGAACTAGCATATGTGGTGATTGTGGTGTTGGTGATGGACAAACGCGTTGGCAGCACCTGCGGCGGCTAGGTGCATCCATGTTGCGGAAGGAGCGCCTCAGTCACTCCCCCTGACCCAACCAGTCGGTCCCTGGTCTTGGCTGGAAAGAAGCAGTCCATGTCGTCGTTGGCAAGCCGTCTTCCCACTTCATCAACTCCTATCTTCCCTCATTGTCTTTTGTGCACCAGATAGCGACCACCCGTTGGAAAGGCTCGTGGAGGATTCAAGTCTCAGATGTTCCAATCTCCTTCCCAGGTACTAAAAGACAGCTCTGCACTGGTGTTGTCCAAACTGCCAGCCCAAAGATTCTCATTGATCAAGGTAGGCGCGCATCCAGCCATCCACGCAGTCGCGTCCATCGTCGGCTCGAAGTTGAACGCTTGTTCGTAATTGACGAATTCATCATCCAAACTACGAAGATGCGAGCCACATAGACTCATGATGACATCTCGGCACTTCGAAGCGCTTTGGTTCAGTCCGACCATCGATTCGACAACCTCCAGAGTTGCGGTGACTTGATCTCGCCATTCGGGCGCCAACCTTGACTGAGATTTACAACGCAGACAATGGATTGGGATAAGTGCTGCTTGGAAGAGGAAGTACCTGCCATGCGATTAGTCCACAATCCAAGTATTCAGAGTTGACAATACTTACAGAACATAGAACGCTGTCAATCTGGTCTGCGGTCTCGACTTCCAGAAATTCTGTATCGACGCTATACTTTCTCGAGCAGCCCGCAAGCATCTATTGGTAGCTTCCTGCTCATGCCAAGTCAAAGCCTCTTCGAGTCCGTCTTGTAACGCCCATTTCACCAGCAATGGCCGGAATATGACGATTCGAAGATTTCGATATCTCCAACAGTTGATGCCGTGTGGCAATGCAAATCGATCCTCCAAGTGCGCGCTACTGTCGTTGAAGTAATGCGGCACCTGCCTTAACCAGGTCTCCACGATAGTCGAGTCGAGTGTCAAGAGTTCTTCCGGTAGCGGAGGTGGGTTGCTGATCAGCCGATTGTATATCGGCATTGTCTGTAGATGATACGATGACTGGACTCTGAGGTACGTGTTGACAGTCGCTTGATCGACTTCGGCTGGTGCCACTAGTGAATTGACCATCAGATCCTCTTCCCGGATATTGGACGGCAAAGCTGCATCAACACCCACTTGTGGCCAGATCAACGGACGACTGTAGGTGATTGTTGCACCCACATCCAGGACACAAAGAGACCACCAGATCCTTCGTCGCAATTCTTGTTTGAACGGACTCATATGTTGGGATCCAAACTCCTTGTGCAAGCCAAGTCCAATGGCCATCCTGATGGCTACTCCACCATAGTTATAGCCAGTGTTCGGCTTGTTGATCTTCTGAAGAAACATGGCCGACATGCCAAATGCTTGCACCAATGTCAGATTGCCTGTTTCCAGTGCATTGACTGCAAGATAGCGCTTCGCCGTCCGAAAAATCGACAGGCTCGTCTCGTCTGATGAGCTCGGATTGGTGACAAAGGCTCCCAGAGCCGCAACGATGTTCACCAGAACAAGCCAGATACTCTGTCCAGGCCGAGTCATCCTACTGTCATACTGAGCCCTGAAAGTCGGCTCGTGCAATATGGGAAACACGGGATGGTATCGAACGAAGAAAGCATCGACGAATATATCCACCATCGCTCGTGTCACTAAAGTCTGAGTTTGCACGGCAGAGGCTATCGATGAGCTTTCTGTCTGCCGACGAAGAAGGTGCTGTAGATCACGTCGCCGATCGTTCCAGGCACCAGAGTCCCATGAAGGATTGTTTCCAGATTCCATCCACAAAGACCGTAGATGGGACGCACCAGACGCCATTCCTAGATAACCATAATTGGCTGCATCGACTGTCAACGTAGCCATGCCATCCATCACCTTTCTGACACCTTCTTCATCATCCTCCGCCATAGCGACTCCACCGGAAAGTCCAGTCTGCTCTCTCTCGTCCCACTCGAACTCCTCGTCGCCATCCGGATACAACGCCGCTGTAGGGTCTGGCTCGACATCGGTAGTGGGAAAGCTCCAAGTTGATCCAGGATCCTCGAGAGCAGCACTTCCTTGGTTTGGTATCTGAGGCTGTGAAGTTACTGATTGCTGCTGATGCAATGAAGCTGGTGAGTTAATGCTTCCTCCAGCCGGACTGGCCGTCCGTGGCGTTTGTGTCCGTGAAGCATTTCTTACGGAAGGCAATATGGGTACATCGCCTGAGCGCTCTTGATCAAGCAAGTACGAAACTTCCTGGTCAGAAAACAATCTCTTCAGAATCGCTTCGGCACGCGACAGTCGATGCTCGACCTCTGTAAGATGTCTNNGAAGCCAAAGTCAGCCGTGAAGCCTACAATGAAACCTCAGGAACACATGCCTTCTTGTTAGTGGTGTCTTCCCAAGCCTATCATAGAGACAATGACGCTTATAACGTTTGCAGGTCGAACACTCCGGTATCTTATGGTCGCAGTTTGCCTTGCGACGACGGCATTCCTTACACGCCAAGCTGTCCTCCGCAGCAGCCTGTGACCGTCGCGTCGCACCAGATACGACGGGCGTGCTCATGATAAGGGTATACAAACGACACGTAAGCAGTCGATAGCACCATAGTCTATCATTCTATCCATCTGCAGTCATAGGCGAAAATTGTACTCGACACCCCAAGACCTATTTCGCCGAAAAGGAACGTTTGGCTGAAAGTCCGTTCAAACCTTGGGCGACTCTCACCCTTCGATAACGCGCTTTACCGATTTTGGCAATTTTTGCTTCCGAAGTCACCCTAATTGGGCCTTGTCTCTTGGACATCACATCTTCTTATTCTTCCTTAACCGCAGAGCGAGATATGAGGAACTACTTCACACTATGGTTGCTCCCTCCACGATGGTTACCCATAGCAAGGGCACCAGCAGTCGTCATCATTGCTGTTCACCGGGTTATACTTGGTCGAAGACAGGGTTGTACCACTAACAATATATCTAGACGACGAAAAGGCCATAACCTGTCCAATGCAATACTAGAAGCTTCCGATCCATATTCATGGTGGTAGTGAAGAGATATAGTTGACACCCATGTATATTTTTGGTACTTCCAGGACTCGTGGACGACATAAGCTCAAGAATCAGGATTTTCGACATGCTCATTGGGAAACTGATTGGCGAACCATTAACTTTTTCCATCTCGACTCACAAACTTATCCCAACACTGCAGATCAGAAAAGCGAGAAAGAGCTCTTGTTAACATCTCAGAAAGGCGTCCCACGCGTATCTTGAATGTGTCACTTCACGGATCTCGAAGACTGGACAAATCATCGGACTATGCTCTCTACTAGATTGACGTCGACATCTCAACACAACAACACAAAACAAGCCTTGCCGCGCGGCTACCAAGAAACTCGCCCTTCTTGTCAATCACTTGGGGATGAAACACCCTAGAAGCACAACATCAAGCAGCTCAAAAATCTCCGGTACAGCACCACGCTTACATTCCACAACACATCTCCGAACCCATTGCTTTGTCGTAACACCCACGATCTTCCCGTGACCAAACCGTTGGGAGGTCATGAGATCTGGATTTCATCATCGGAGTGCAGCTCCCTGTTACGAGTCCTCACAAAGAGGTAAAGAAGTATAATCCGCCGCGTCATTGTCAGATAGGGTGGCTATGCGAGGTACAGAGAAAACACAGCACACATGTCTATCTGCTGCAAGTAACCAGGGGGGGCCGCGTAAGTATATCCGTCCACCATGGAAGATCCCATCTCCAAGGTCTTGCTATTTGTTCAAGATGCTCGAGTGTGGCTACATTGGTTCACAGATCTTCTTGGTGCCGTGGATGCAGACGATGATGGCGACACAGGCTTTGCTGGCAAGAGACGCGTCGGCTATGCGACAGTGTATACGCGTCTGTTGATCTTCTGCGGCAGTAGCATTACCAGACGTTGTGGTCTTGAGCTGGATGATCTGGTGAATTGATCAACAAGAGCAGAGCCCCAAAGTAGTACATGTGTGTCATGTCCTCAAGGAGTCGAGGCCTTGAGACTTGGGGACTGATACTCATTCAGACCAGACATGACTAAGATGTCTGAAGAGCTTTTGGAAAGAAGCAAGAAGCAACTCGACAATATTACATACAAGTAGATATCCGTTCATGTTCCGAATCAAGAAAGAACGAGCATCACAGAGATACTCTCTTATATATATATATTAGAATGCAATAAACTCTTTGTTCCATCTACACTCTCGTCACGAGACGTTTTTCTCCCAACTAGAAAATAAGAAGGGCATATTTCTAAACATGTGAACAATGAAGAAGACGAAAAGATATTTTTCACCACCCCCGGCTATGCTCCCCTTGACTTCTTCTCATCGCTGCAACATTTCATTGATATCGAGTCTCCTTCTTTTTCTGGGGCTGCCTGAACTTTCCCCGGTTTCAGTGTCGTCTTCACTGCTTGCTCTCTCGACCGCATGTCTTTGCTGAATGGGCGAGCTCTGGAGTACTGATACTGTAGCCCCACTGTCCGCCCGTAGTCTGGTTTGGATGTGTCTGCCTAATGAGTCCATAGTATCGGATCTTGGACGGCTGCGATGTGCATGCATGGGAGGTTGGAGGAATGGAGGTTGCGTCATGTGACTGCTGGAGCTTGACCCTGCTGTACCCGGACGCTGATCCGGATGTGTTGGGGGTGGTGGCAGCATTTGTTGTGATGATTGCTGTTGTAGGTGAGGGTAGGAGGGTTGGTAATGTGTGCTGTGCGTGTATGAGTGTTCACCGAACGAGTAGCGTGGGTTGAGCGTGTAATTTTGTGATCCCGGGTCGGTAAATGCGTAGTATGTGGAAGGAGGTTCAGAGATGCCTGGTTGATGTTCCATCATGCGAGGACTGCCTTGAAACGGTGCAGGTGGAGCTGCTGTAGCTCGTGCGGGAAACATAAACGGTGGTGGCTGAGGAACTATGATCTGCTCGGCGACTTGGGGTGGTAACGGTGGCAGGAAGAGGGTGACAAAGTAGACGGAAGACTTAGCCAGACGCATGCGGACCGGTAATGTCTGATCGACACCGCCTCCAAGTCGGAAAGTCCAGGCGAACTGATGGTCTGCAAAGCCTCTTGTAACTTCCTCTACATCATGATCCGTTGTTCCAATGCCTGACACTGGGTCCAATCTTGGTTGTAGTATGGGTGGTAGGTATGCCGGCTCCCGTATCTCTCTTTCTTCCCTCAACCTGTTGCGAGCATTCTGAAAGCTGTCTCCATCCAATGGCTTTGCAATGTCCGACAAGCGTATTCCCTTGATCTTCTGTAGCCACGAGAAGAGACGCTGGAAGGTCGTGTTGGCCTTCAAGACCACAAAGTCGGTGTCGAGAAAGGCGATCGGTATCTCAGGGGAAGGGGCTAAGCGTGGGTGCCTGGATGGTGGTAGGAGTCCTGTCGACGGAGCTGCTCCGAATGAGTATGCGCGTTCACGCGTCGGAACACCTTGGTCAATTGAGGGCTGATGGCTCTGTTCTGCAGCAAAAGCAGCTAGCGTGCGTAGAGAAGCTGTTTTCCGATGGCCTGGTCGAGCCATTGGTCTAGCAGACGAGGGTCCCGCGACTGGGCTCGCCACTGACTCCACCTCCGAACCACCTTGCTGTAACTGAAACTGGCCCTCATCACGTAAACGTGGTCGACCGCGCTTTTTGTGAGGTACATCACGGCACGTCTNCCTGATTGTTGTCAGCTGAGAATTGATATCTGTCCGAGATAGACTTACAGCCTTGCCTGTAGCCACGCATCTGCCACAAGGTCTTTCGACATCACAGCTGAGATGTGCTCTCTTGCAGTTGTTACATGCATTGGCAACATGAGCTTTGGCTCTTCTCCCACCTCGACCTATGTTAGAGGATGACGACTGTCTAACACTAGGTCCAGCAGTAGGAAGTGTATCCGGCACATTGCTTGCACTCGATCCAGACTTGGTCTGACGAAGTGGTGCAAAACTCTCTGTCGAAGACGATGAATAGGTGCGGGGTACCCCTGATGACGCTGCTGATGATGTTGGAGCAAAGGATTGAGGTAAGCTTTGTAATGTAGATGCAGATGCACCTGCCGAGACGGGAGGTATGGTAAAGTCTGTGTTTGTGGCCGATGGATCTGTAGAGGTAGCGGTGCCAGAGAGTGTAAGCTCAGAGAATGTTGTAGCTGGCGGAGGCTGTATATCAGATACCTTCCTCTGTGGGGAAGGCGGGCTGGACATAGGCGGTGAAGGGTACGACGGAATGAGTTGCCACGGCGGAGACCCGCCTTTTGCGAAAGCAAGGTCTGAACGATCGGTTTGAGGTCGAAACTCGTATGGTAAATAGAAGTAATTGGGCTGTGATGACCCGGTCATACTTTCCCGAAAGCGAGTCGACTGAGAATCGGGTTGCCGAGTGGGGGAGGAGCGAATGACAGAAGCTCACAAAGAAGTGAATTGCTTTCAGAACCTGGAGACGAGCTTGTACAAATTTCCAGTGCAGTTGCGATTTGCAGGATAGTCCTTTGCCAAAAGATTCAATCGTTCTCCATGTGTATTTGTGTGGATTGCTCAAATTCTGCCTACGGACAATTATACAGAATTGCGGAGACCGGAGTACAGACGTTTCAAAGNTCGGAGATGGTGAATAGTAAGATCGAGAGGATGGACCCGAAGAAACGACGAAGAGTTGGAAGCGAGTGTAGTAGATCAAACAGTTTNTTCGTCGCTATTGGCATGAATCAACAAAAGATAGAAGCAGGAGGCAGAAACACTGATGAAGCTGGAAATCCAGCCTAGATGAGACGAGAGAGTAGAAGCATGCACGGAGAGAGNAACACACTAAGCCCCATGAATTGGGTTAGGATTGCACAGACTCGTACATAAGACTGGGAGCAGCGACAAACGTCGGACAGCCCAGACAGTCATGGCGTAATGTGCGTGAACTAAGGTTAGATCATGGGGAAGCCGCACACGAGATGGCATAACAACGATTGCAGACATGTCATATGGACCGCACATCTCTCTCCCTCTGGTGCTGACAGGGCGGGTTTCCATCATTGCGCCGCCCAAAACACGATGCATCGGGGCCACCATGCCCATGAAAGAGGACCCGTGAGTTAGTCCTGTGCATGTCGGTTCCACCATCTCTTGGCATTTCGACAGCGTCGCTACAACAAGACGCAGATGGACGGTGCAGGGCAGTAGATCATTGAACGCCTTCAAATGCATCGGCGACAATAACCCCCGACATGCGCCATATGCAAGACGGTTTGCGGGATGGCGCATGCTTCAACCGTGCTGGACTCGTGTTTAAATGTTCTCTATGCAGCGATTGCCGCAATGAGGGTGGGCATAGCCAGAAGCTGGCGCGGCCAGAGGGGTCACCTAGGCCAATAAAAAGCCTTACGGGTATTGGACTGGGGGACGTGAGTGACGATGCAGGTGTACCTGCCGGAAGGGAGATCCTGAAACGCCCCTACTAAACTCCATTGCTTGCTGCCGGCGGGTCATTGTTTCCAAAGAGTGGCTGTCGTTATTGAGAGGATCGTGGGGCCGGATCGGCCGCTTGGACCACGCTCATGACCACTCATGAACACAGAGAGAAAGGTTTAGACCAAGGTACCTGCTGTTGCAAGTTTTGAGTGTGTGAGAAGCCTTTTTGATCTCGATCATCGATTTTCCAACTCTGTAGCTTTGCAAAAATCGATCATCATCCTTCAACAGGTTATCGAGCATTCGAGAGTGGATTTCGGACCCGAGTATGGGGTGCTCTGTTCCTACCATCGGCCGTAGGCAGAGTCCGGGACATGAGAAGAGGATTGCTTGCGGGAGTCCTAAACACGAGACGGAAGACCAGACCTGGAAATAAAGAAGAGACGGAAAAACTGTCAATTGACCAACGAAAGCCACAGAAGCATCGTGGAACGTCTCTTTCCTGTTCCAGCATTATGAGAAGGAGGTGCATAGCAAGCTCACGGTCCGGAAGAAGGAGAATTATCGCGTAGCCTTGCGGAGTCCCGGTTGGTAATGAGCATGAAAGTCGCAAGCAGCGATTTGGAGTGATCAGCATTGATCAGAGCTTGCCAAGCACGTGTTCCTGGACAAAAACGTGGCCCTGGTAATTCTACCCTTGCTCCTTGAGAGAGATGGTCCAGCCTGAAGTCCATCACACGGCGTAGATTTCGAGGCTGCATACTGGATGCGTATCGCAATCACTGCACAGCTCATGCAAGAGCCGCATGATGCAGACGGTATCAGAGGGTCGTGAGAAAAGCCCGAGGGCGCTACGGAGTTTCTTGCCAAAGGGCAAGGCTCAAGAGGTGAGGTTGGAATGGAGAAGTTGGGGGCCGAGCGAGAACGTCCGACGTTTCGACGCGCCAAGCCTCAGGACAACCTCACGTCGTCCTTTCCATTCGCGGCATAATGCTTGTGCAGCTATTATGGACTGATCTTGTTCCAGCAACATCCGTAGACATATGCCCGACCAATAGAACCATGGATTTGGGATCGATCCAAGCGCCGTGCTTTTACCGCTGCGAACGGCTTATGCGGTGATGAAGCACCAACACCCATCAGCTAACAAGTCCCTTGCGGGAGTCTTTTGGAACCACTGCAAGCCCGACCATCTTAGCGGCTTGATTAAAGCACTATTAAGCATTTCCTGCATTCCGCAGTCAAGCAGTGACCCGTTGCTTGTCCGTTACAATGGCTGTCTGTATACACACCTCGACCCATGTTTCATCATCATACCAAGAGTCAAAAGCAACATCATCGGTGTCACGGCGGTTCACTCACCGGGCCGTCCTTTACGTGCGAGTCAGCATCAAAGTCAATTCAATCCTTGCATAAGATGACGGCTAGAGAGAGTGTGTGCACTTGTCCGAAGAACTCTCTATCCTTATTAGCGACGTACGCCCGAATGGCCAATGGAATATCTGACATGCCATATATTTCAGTTGTAGCAAGTCAGGAAAGACTTTCCGCTGCCTGACAAGGTTTGCGGTGAGGTTAATCAGGTAGCTATAGCATGTACCAAACGGTGCATGATGTGGAGAACATTCATGAGCACCCAGCACGGAACTGCAAGATATATGTAACGGGCAGGTGAGCAATTTGCAAATCTGCAGAGTAGATCCACCCAATGATGCTCGCACGAGCTCTTATTTTGCTGCTGCTATGCTAGTTTGGAAAAGACAAAGAGAATGAACGCTTCCACTAGCTTCTGCCACCTCTTCCTCTACCACCGCCACGGCCACCTCCTCGGCCACCACCACCTCCACGACCACGGCTGCTTGAACCACGATCTCCGAAACCACCTCGGCTAGATCCTCCTCTGCTTGCTCCGCCACGTCCGCCGCGCCCACCACCACCACCACCACGGCCACGACTGCTCGAACCTTGCGGTCGGGCATTCTTATCCTGGCGTTTTTGCGCTTCTTGTCTGAGTTTGTGCACATCGTCGACACCTCTGAGCTCGCTCTTGCCAGGTCCGCTTTCGAACCTGCCGACACGCTTCTCCTTTGCTGCATCCACCTTTGCTTTTTGTTTGTGGTAATCGTCTCGGTATTTGTCAGCGTCCTTGGGCGCTTTAACCATCTTGTGCTTGAAGCGTTGGTTGTCAATGCCATTTCTGTTGCCCGGACGCTCGAGTTCTCCGACGCGAGGAAGGACATCGAGTTTGTTGTCTTTCCTCCATCTGTCGAAGCGACCACTGCGGAATGAGGCTGCGATCTTGAGACCGCTCTCACCCGTGATCATCTTCGTACCCTTGGAACCGTCCTCATCGTTGGCACGGGACACGTATTTTCTGCTCTTGCTATCCCAACGAAGACCGCCAGCCTTGCTAGGGGCACCGAAAGCCTTTGTGTCATCGTTTGCTAAGTCCATAGTGGCTCCGCGTGCTGCATCCAAGAAATGAGTATTGCGACTTCCATCCGTACCCGAGTGAACACCGTAACCTCGGTCTTCAGCCATATTGATATTTTGTGGCGTGTAAGACATGAAGAATTCCGAATCCTGTCCTGCACCTGATGCTTTTGCCTTCTTCTTCTCGGGTTGTGAGAAAGTGATTTCGAGTTCATCTTCCGAGGCTTCGTCGAGGTCAACATCGACATCTCCTGTAGGTAGGTCATCGTCGTCATTGTCAAAGACTGTAGTGTCTTCGTCCATCTCTTCCGTCTCTGCAGCCTTCTCCAGCTGCTTGCGAGGCTGAATTTTGGCTCGTCTATTTCTCATAATTTCAGTAGCCTCGTTAGCGGTACCTCGCTTGCCGACCTCGAAAATTGTTTCCGGAGGACGGAATCCGCTTACTCGAGCAAGCATCTTCTCTCTTTCTAGCTCCATGTGTCTAGCCTCTGAATCGTCCTCGAACAGAGTGTGAATTTCCGAGTAATGGGGAGAGGAGCCGACAACCTTGGCGCGCTTTGCACTTTCGGACGAGGCTGAAGTGCGAGTACGCACGTATTGCTTTTCAGCTTTGACGGAGACATCGCGTATGCCGGACAAGTCAACATCTTCGTCAACGAGTTTTCCGACTTCCTCAACGCAAATCTCGAGGGGAGCTCTGACGAGCGTTCCCAGGACGACCTGGTCGGCATAGTTGATTTCGTCCGTAGGCTCTCTTCCAAGAATTAACTTACGACTAAGGAAAAGCTGAAGATCGAGCAGGTAAGGCAAGTCCTTCTGTGTGACCAGACTGTAGGCCCAACCCTTTTTACCAGCGCGAGCGGTACGACCGACGCGGTGAACAAAGATCTTTGGTTGCGAAGGGAAATCGTAGTTGATGACGTTGGCCAGAATGGGAATATCAACACCACGAGCAGCGACATCGGTGACGACCAGGATGTTTGTAAGGCCAGATCTGAACTCCTGAATCTGAATCTTTCTGGCGGTTTGGTCTAGAGCACCATAGACATATGAGACGGCGTAGCCGAGTTGGCTGAGAAGGTTGTAAAGGTATTCAACGTGATGCTTTGTAGAAGCAAAAACAATGGTAGAATGCTCGGTCGGAGTTTCGTTGGCACCAGGACCATCGGGGCCTCGCTTGCGCTTCTTGGACTTCATGCTATCTTCCTTGGCCTGCTTGGATCTTTCTGTAGGGCCACTGGGCATCTTGATGACGTCTCTAAGGATGTGTACAAGGGCACCTTCCTTTTCCTGGGTGTTGATGGAGAAGTAGGCGGTTTCAAGGTCAGGCGAGACCTTTGTTTCGGCGTCCAGACGAATGAGTTTGGGCTCTTGAAGACCAGCACGAGCAAATTCGACCAAAGATCTAGGCAAAGTAGCAGAGAACAACAGAGTCTGTCTGTTAGGAGGCAGAGCGACCATAATTTCAGCCAGCTGTGCAGCAAAACCCATTTCGAACAGGCGATCGGCTTCGTCAAAAACGATGTACTTGATTGAGGACAAGTCTAAGTTCATCTCGATCTTCAAATGCTCAAAACGACCAGGAGTGGCAATGATAATATCAGGGTTCGAGGCCATGGACGAGAATTGCTCCTCCAGACTGTCACCACCGACCAATAAGATTGTCCTGAGGTCTGTTCCCTTGCCCATCTCTTTCACGACCTTGAGTGTCTGCAGAGCAAGTTCACGCGACGGCGACAAGATGACAGCTCTTGCGCCGACCTTTGCGCTGTGCGACTTCAACTTCTCGATCATGGGGATAACGAAAGCAGCCGTCTTTCCCGAACCAGTTCTGGCCATACCGACGACATCTTGACCGTCCAGAATAACGGGGATGGTCTTGCGCTGAATGGGGGTGGGTACAGAGAAACCCTTGCGAGTGATGGCTTTGAGCAGGTGTCCGTTCAGACCCATAGACTGGAAACCTCCTCCCTTCTTGGTTGTCTTTCCCGTGGCATCCTTGGTCTTTCTGTTATTGGCAGCCTGTTGAGCGGCAATGTACAATTCGTCGCCATCGCTATCGTCGTCCAGTCCAGCTCCTCCGTGCGCATCGAGGGCGACGGCTTGGGGTTGTTCGAATCCGGCAAGGGTGATGTCGTCGTCCGAGTCTAGGCCAGCTCCTCCAGCGAGGGCATTCGAGATGTCGAAACCATTCTCGGAAGCGGTAGGCGAAACAGCTCGTCTACCCATCTTGTATTGTGGTGGTGAATGAGCCTTCGCAGAAAAAGCGCCTCTCCGCAAATTTGGGAAGTCGCGACCCTCAACTTTTGCTGATAAGCTTTCTCGCTCGCGTCTTATCAGCACGTGACATGCCACTCAAACGCGTCGACGCGGGTCGAGGCTGCCGTCGCGTTTGCCAGCGGGCATGCCATGCCACTTTTTGATCACACCCATCAAACACTGAACAAGTTATACCAACCCTCAGCACCCAATACACACATCACTGCAACTGGAGAAACGACAAACACAATCCTGTTGGAATAGAATCACCTCTTTCCAACTTCCACAAGTCAAATCACAATGGGTGAGGCTCCCCACCTTGAACTGGCATGCAAGAGGCAACTCTGACCAGACTAGATTACGGATACTCAACAACGTCATATGGTGCACAGGGTGGTAACGAAGATGGCGGCTTCATGGCCGGTAGCCAGGACAGTCCTAGCGCAAAGAGAGTAAGTGCTCATGCACCTGAACCATGTTGATCACATCTAACACATCCANNGTCGTACGGCAAGGAAACGCTACGTCCCGTCACAATCAAGCAACTGCTCGAGGCCGAACAACCCGACAGCGAGAACTTTGCCATCGACGGCTCAGAACTGACCACAATCTCGTTTGTTGGTCAGGTCCGCAACATCAGCAAGCAAACCACAAACATCACCTACAAGCTGGATGATGGCACTGGCACTATCGAGGTCAAGGTCTGGATCGACATGGAGACTGCTCAAAATGACGAGGATAACGGAGCCAAGGGTGGTTTGGTCGAGAACGCATACGCTCGTGTCTGGGGCAAGCTGAAGACTTTCGGCAAGCGTCACATTGTCGCTCAACAGATCCGTCCTCTGACCGACTTGAACGAGGTCAACTACCACATGTTGGAAGCCACCTACGTCCACCTCTTCTTCACACGCGGTCCTCTCGGAGCACAACAGCAAGGTCAACAAGGCCAAGGAGCAACCAACGGTGGCCAATCCGGTGGCGGTGGCACTCTTCCTGCCGGCGTTTCGACTCACGCCAGAAAGGTCTTCCAGTGCATGCAAAACACTCCTCAGATCAACGAGGGTCTTCACATGCAGGACATTGCCAGCAGAACGGGCATGGATGTTGCCGATGTGCTCAAGGGAGCAGACGAGCTTCAGTCGATGGGTAAGATTTACCCTACAGTCGACGATCAGACTTGGTGTTTGCTCGAGATGTAGATTGCCCGAACGTCACTCAAGAGGTAGAGAAGGAGTTTGCTTTGCGGAAACGATTAGAAGATACCAACACTATGTGTACGTTTACGGCAGCGCGGCGTGTAAAAAACCATGAATCATCAACCATCAACCATTTACCATTCATCAGATCATATCAACGCGTCCGCTCCTTTGCTCCGGCATTTGTCGACAGAAAGAGTACGCAAGCAGCCACGATCGAAGTTGCGACGACTGTAAAGACCTGGATCTGGAGTCAGAAGCACGCCACAGATGATGCCTTTTTAACACTTACCACCTGCGTCTTCCAACCAGTCTGTACCAACGCCTGTCGCTTCGAGTACTTCTTCACAGTCTTGATGTAGTTTGCCGTCCCACTAGCCAGGCAAGCGAGCGCGAGGAACCAAAATATTATGCCAAAGGGCAGTGCTATCCTTCGTTCGAGCGGCGACGGCTGACTTTTGAGATGGAACGAGATGAGAATGGCTACACTGACGACAGCCATGTATATAGCTAGTCGTAACCACGAAAGGAATGCTAAAATGACAAGACAAATGATCAGAAATTCTGATACTATGGTCGACGATTTGGTTACCATGACAAGAATGTACATACTTCTCTCGTTCGCACAATGGTCACGAGCGTCAGAGTCAACGTTATCAAAGAGGAGGGCGGCCAGTAGAGGACGTTCGGTGAAGACATGGCGTTCATGTGTCGGTCGTCTATGGTCCTATTATTGACGTGCTTTTGCAAGATGCTTTTTGACATTGGTCACATACTGATTGACTAGGACGGGCTTTGGGTGAGGCACACACGACACGATCTCGTAAGGCTCGATTCGTTCTTGAGTCAAGGTAGCCATCGATATAAGAGTGTAATGTTCCTTCAAGATGACTGGAGAAATTGCGAATATCGCTGGTTCATACAGGTTTCTTGTTATACAGCATCCCGGATGTCGCGATATAATGCCAAGGCTGTCGCAAAAGGTGGTCGGATCCTGCCGACGCNAGAGCAGTTGCGGACTTTTGGTATGCGGCGAGCACGACCGAGAGATCACGGCCAGTCACACATCACACATCNACAATCATGTCGGTCCAAGCAGCGATGAAGGCACCATTCCGTCTAGGAACCAAGGAGGTCTTCCTGTACGTCCCTCTCAATCGCGCACTCACAATACCAGGACCTTGCGACGAACGAAAAAGTGCTGACGAGCATGAAACAGANCCCAACTTCACAGTAACCCTCATCCGCACACCGCGCATGCCCGCCAGCTTCGCCAAATTCATCGTGCCCCTCAACATGAACAAGCTCGACCTTCGCGACTACCTCTTCCACGCCTACAATGTCCGCGTCGTCAGCGTCCGCTCCTACATCGACCAACAAAAAGTTACACAAGGCAAACCCAATGCCCCCAAGATGCAGATCAAGCGCTGGTTCCGCCCGCGCGCCATCAAGAAGATGACCGTCGAACTGGAGAGCCCGTTTGTATGGCCCGAACTGCCGACCAAGGACGAGTTGAACGAGAACTGGAGCAAGGACACACACGCCCAGGCGCAGAAGGATAACGACAAGTACTCCGAGCAAAGAGGTAGACTGGCAGACACATTTGTGGACAAGGACGAGAGAAAGAGCATGAGAGAGCAGGCTAGGGCGCTGTTGGAGAGAAAGGAACAATGGAAGCCTGCCGAAGAGTTGGGCTTTGCTGCACCAAAGAAGTAACCATCTTGTACATGAGCATTCTTGGGATGGAGTTTTGAGGCGTTGCGACAAAGAGACGGGGCAATTGTGCATATGGGTTCGCACTGTACTATATCTGATCACAAATTTTGGGCATGCATTGCCTACTCGCTGCCATACCACAGTGAGTTGTACTCTTACAACCATATATCCTTGGGTCATTGTCGTGTCTGATTTCTCGACACAAATCGGTTCAACGAGACTGCCCTAAATCTCGTAGCGTCCATTAATTGATGGATTAATAGCGATCCAAGAGAAGCAAGTGCAACCGACTTCCACCATTGACTCACATGTTTCCCGTCAAGGTCACTTTGAGCCCTATATTTTTGCATCTCATATTCTTACCCTCTTCATACGATGCTCATGTCTTCACATCATCGTTTGGCCTGTTCTTTTCTAGCTTATATAGGTTCGTTGCAAGTTCCGTGAACAAGCAAAGACCTCGGCAAAGTCGCGGGGAACAACCATGTCGGGAAACCTTTACTCGGGGAACTCGGCCTTGCCTTCCTTCCTCTCTCCATCATTGCATTATTATCCAGATATGTCAGAGATGGCCCAACCGGGGACTAACGCTATGGAACCTCCNCCCAGCACACGGCCGTATCGCTCACACAAGTTTCCCGCTTGCACTGCTTGCCGTCAGCGCAAAATACGCTGCCATCTTGACCAACAAGCAGCCACTTGCACTCTTTGTCGGGAAAAGGGTTGGCAGTGTGTCGTTGCTTCTCCAGCCCCAAATCCTCAAAAACGTGATCGGTCTTCTACGTCGGGTCCAGGGGAAAGGCCCGCGAAGCGTACTGCTCAAAGCATAGGTCCTGGAGGTGATGGTTCTCCACAAGTCCCAGCAGGACGACCTTCTCGTCAAGGCTCTACCATAGGTACTCCTGCTGAAGCCTCTGCTGAGATTGCACAACCTTTGGATCATCCGAGCACCGAGTCGACTGTGATTGTAGGACCTGTGTTCCAGGAAGATATCCAAATCTTAGGGCCATATCTCTCGAGAGGAGATGAACCAAGACAATCGTCCAAAGAACGGCAAACTGCTACAGCTGGACCGAGTCGCAACCCGCTTTTATATCTTTCTGTTCCTCGTCGTCGGAGAGGTCTTCAGCCGGCCAAGGATCCTGGTTCTAATCAGAAGCTTATCTTACAACACCTTGTAGGACCGTTTGCCGATGAGCTTATCGATCTGTAAGTATTTGGTGGCTGTTTCGACTGACCTCAGCAGCTGATATTGTATAGATACTTTGAAAATGCTCATCCTTGCTTCCCTATTCTAGATGAGCTGGCTATCAANAAACATGGAGCGACAGGTATCTCGTCTACTCTGTGGTCTTACATCATCACTAATGCACTGTCTTCTTGGGAACGATCGCCAAAGTTGAGAAATCATCCTCGGCCTGATCCAATCTATGCTTGCAATGTCGCCGTTGCTGCTTTGCAGGAAGACTTCAACGAGTCCAGTGTCTCGACTATACTGAGCAGTGTGCTTGATATGATTGGTCGACCGGTCAACTCCATCGTGGGCAACATTATCAACGAAGGCCGAACGTTAGCTCTTGCCCACACTTTTGGAATGAACCGCAATCCCACGAACTGGGGATGTTCGGATCATGAGAAACGACTCAGGATACGTACCTGGTGGGCCGTCTTGATTAGTAACAGAATGTAAGTCTTCAAAAGCCAGGTTGTCGACCAAGCTGATCTTCCAAAGNNGTCTGCTTTAGCCCATGGAACGCCAACCACCTTGACAAAGGGTCAATATGACGTGCCTCTACCCACATATGCAATGCTCTTGACACCAGGCAAGGACAATGTCTATCGTACACAAGGTGCAGAGCACTTCATCCAGCTATGCAAGCTGTGCGAAACACTGGGTGAAATCATACACATTGCCGCTGACCTCCGTCGCCCTTTCGAAGCAAAAGTACCCCGAGAACTACGACGGCTCGAATGTGATCTAGATCAATGGGAGGCCGACCTGCCACCATATCTTACTCGGCCGCTCGAGGAGGGAAAAGGACCCGGAGCATGCAACTTGTACTTCTGCTTCCTGTCAACTAAACTCATGCTTGCTCGAACGGCGCTCAAGGTNGTGTCAAACGTTACTTGCTTAATGTGATTTAGCTAAAACCTGCAGTATGCCAACTCCGATGGTCAAAAGCCGGACAACAGTAGCGAGCATCTACGATATCGTCTCTCTGTGCTGCGTAGCTCGGCACGCGAGATAGCAGACTTTGTTTGTGCTCTGACAAGTCAACATCTAGCTGAGTGGTGGCTACCATGTAAGCCAGAGAATCCTCTCTGAAAGTATTGTCGACAAGAAAATTGACTTTCTCTCACAGACACAGCCCATCTACTAGCCTCCTCAGCCATGATACTTCTCCGCTGCACAATCGAGACCACTGACCCTCTCGCCCGTGAGACCTGCAAACGCAGTCTCGAGGCCCTTCGCAAACGCCTTCGGTCCGCTCGTGACGATGACAACTGGGATCTGGCCGACATCTTCCTCAATCAATGCGACGAACCCATCTCTCGCGTCATCAACAAACTGTCCACCGCTCCTCCCACCACTACCGCAGCAACTGCTTCCCCTCATCACCAGCCACACAATCAAGACCAGTTTGTTCCTGCTATCAATGTTGAAGACGTGGTGTTGCAGCCTTTGCAACAGGATTTTGCTTTTGACCTCGCTGGGTTTGGTACAACGACGACGGACTTAGGGTTCTCGTTTGAGGGGTTGGGGTTGCCGTTTGAGAGCATGTGGAGTGGGTATGATCAGGAAGTTGATGCTAATGGTATGCCTGGCTTTTGAGCAGTATCGAATGACCAAAGCCAAAGGATGGTGTAAGGAGAGGAAAGACCAGACTTCCCAAACAAGGAATGTTTTTTTTCACTAAGGGTTTCATAGGTCTGAAATTAGTCCTACAGTAGACCACACACAACTCTTTTCCAGGACAGCCATAGGGCCATGCCGTCAAGGTCGCGGCGCTATAGTTTAGGAAAAAGCCGTCTCCACAAAACACGTCTCAGACGACTATCCATTTCCTTTATTTGAACGCAAGTACGCCGTTCCGAGTCCAGAATATGGTGTGTGAGTCACAGATTGTCTATAAGCCCAAGGCCAGAAGCCTCCGGTCAAGGGGGATATCTCGATCAAATCAGCTTTTCGTAGTTTTTGCAGATGCCCACTTTCTCTCTAACCATGTGCTTTGACAATCGAGTTCATGTGGGGTACAGTCAGCGGGGCGAGGCCCTCAAGTCGTGCTTGGATGCAAAAGCCTGGGCACCAGCGTGTGTAGTAGTCATGGTACGATGAGAAAATATATAGACTGCTTTCAGGGGACACAAGATCATGTCTCAGCGAAGAAGAGTGTTTCCCTAACAAACTCTTCTGCCGATCATGCCTTTTCACTCTTGAAACAGGCGAAACGTTTATATAGTCTGGAAAGAATTACTACATGGTGCCAATGAGAATGAGAATTCGAGTAAAAGATGATCTGGAGGAAGCTACGGTTTGCATCACAAAGTTGTAAGACGAGACTCATATGTGAGAGTTGTCGCTGTTGTCCATTCTGTAACGATAGGGTTTTGACGAAGTAAAAAAAAAAGTTGGGCTCCGTGACAGACATCAAGAAGAAGGTGGCGACAAAAGACGGTTGTTAGTTGAGAATCAGATACCGAGATGATTTGATAGAAATTTCACGACCGAATGAGCGGATTACAAAAGGGAAGCTCGTCTATAATCCGTCCACCCATTGCCTGTTTCTTTTTTTTTCCTTTCTTTTATTTCTTTTGTGACCCGAACACTCCAATGAAAGAAAGTTGCATTCCGAGACAAGAGATCGAGAAGAAAGATAGCAGCACACGATGATGCGAGCGATAGCAACACACGAAGACAAAGCACATGAGAGGAGAGCAGCGCACACCGTCAGTAAACCCCAAGCTTGGCTTCCTCTTGAAAACCCTACTACATCCACCCGACTCTTTCCTTTTTTCCTCATGTTTTCCTTCCTTCCACCTTCTTTTACGCCTCTGCTCGCGAGATAGAGGCAAATCAATGATCACAAGATCAAGAAGAACGCCCTCTTCTCGTGTTTTTTTGCTAAACCTTACAGCTTCGTATGTGTATATGCGAGAGAGATATTTCTGTATTCTGGCTACGGAGAATTGGGTGGAGTGCCGGAAGGAAGTTTGCATGTAACGAGGTAGATGTGGCGGGACTGCTTACAGGGTGTGATGATTATGTATTCGTGCATAAGGAGATTGTGCAGAGATGTGAAAGGGGGTGGACTTCCTTCCATGATCTTGTCGGATATTTTGGTTGCAAGTTTCATTTGTATTGGAGAGAAAGAAAATTTCGATACCCTTGCAAGATGACAAAGTGGTTGCGGAGAAAGATACCGTATCTTTTTCCATCGGAAAGAGACATCCCTTTCCCATATACAAGACATTCATAATTATACCCAATCCTTTGCCGCCATGAAAATATACAAAAGACAAAATTACTAGCAATCCGAACTTCCATTTTACCATCCATTTCCAAAGTGACCTCCTCTGCTCTTGCACGCAGTCATGACACCGGTTGGCGTTACAGTGGTCGTCTTAACGAATGTGGCCGTCATGGTCTTGGTTTGCCATGTGTAGGCTGTGTTGACTGTAAAGCTAGTCTTTGTGACGGGAGGGAGGGTGAGGAAGGCACTTGCGTAGCCAGTCTTGATGGTGGCTGGTGGAAGTGTGCTAGAGAATACATTAGTAAGGATGATAAGATGTGAGTGAGGGAAGCAGAGGATGGCTTACGTGGTGACAGTCGAGCTGCTCAAGACGATATTAATCACTGTTGTGGGTGCGGCGGTGAAGGTATTCTGTTNCTCTTCGTCAGCTTTTGATTTCTCCTCTGTAGAAAAGACAAGACTCACGGTCCAATTTGCAGTAACACTGCCAGTAACAGTAATCGTAGGCGCATCAGCAGTCCTCTTTGCCAAATCCCTCGCATCAATCTCCGCAGCCCTTCTAGCCCTAATATCTGCCAATCGCTTCTTGATACTGGCATAATCCTCAGGAACATCTCTGGCAATCCTGACACCTGGAGGCACTTTGAGCAGACGGGGCCATCTGCGGCATGGTGGATCGGGCTGTTGAGGGCGTGNGGGAACTGTGCAACTGGCTGTTGCGGTGCTGGTGTAGACTACTGCTGTGCGGGACCAGGTCTTTAGGGTGCGGACGAGGTTGAAGGTTTTGGTTACTACGGTGGGATCAGGTGTTATTGTTACCCAGCGTGTGGCCTGTGGTTTCGTTAGTTTGATACAGCTAGATAGAAAGAAGGGTTTTACTTACTGCAGGCTGTGTCACGGTCACAGAGTTGTTGACCGTCGTAGTGTTGACGACCCAAGATGTGGTTTGTGATGTAATGGTCGGCGTCGTGGTCATGTTGAAGGTCATGGTTGGTGTAACCTATCTTCGTCAATTTTCTATCCACCAAATCTCGCAAAAACAAAACTTACAGTGGAAGTCGCCTGTGTGCCAACATTCAACGAGAAAGTTCTTTGGTTTGCAAACGGTGGGGAGTCCGGGTCAACGCCATTGTTGGAGATGAGAATCAATCCCCAGGTGCCCGACACCATTTGGTCCTTTTCGATGTCACATGTGGATGTTTCCGGAGTTCCATCTGGCAACAGAGGGATATCTGAGCAAAGATATTCGGCCCCTGAGTCCCAGTTGACTAACTCAACGGCGGCGACGTCGCTGGCGCAACCTGNTGTTCAAGGTCAGCGTTTCGGATGCCAGATCAACAGAATGTGATATTTACCTGTAAACTCTGTGACCGAGGTAAAAGATTGGTTCGAGGCCGAGTTGATGAAGTACTTGACATGATGTTAGCAGGTTTCCAAAGGTATGATCTACGCGTGGCAAGAACTTACATTTCCATTGTTGACAAAGTCGATACCAAAGGATTCACAGTCAGCATTGACTCCCGATAGGAACGACGCTGACCATGCCAGTGGCAACAGCAATGAAGAGCGAGTGTGCATCGTAGAAGAGGAGGAGGAAGCGAAGAGTCTGTAGGAACGAGAGAAGACAGACTACTTCACAGTACACCGTGGTATACGCAAGCACGCAAATCTATACAAGACAACAACAGGTGATATGAGCTCAGTGTTGACACATGCAGACCTGGGTGAGGATCACCTACCTTTATATACACTGACATTTATCTACAAATGTAACAGAGGTCACTTTCTTCTCCGCTTACCGCAGGGTTTGCTGCGAGGCTAAATTGGATGACTACTAACCTCATTCCGTATCCGGATATAGAAGGATGGATAGCGTGAGTAGGTATCATGGTTCTTTCTGCCCTGGGTATGCCGCAACAACTCATCCCGAATGTCACGAGGGCGTGTTTCCCATGGCTGGGCAGGGTCAGGAAGGTTTGAGTCGACCAAACAAGCGCATGTAACTGAAGCAAGTGTGAGTCGGGATGTGGAGCATGCAGCGTGTCGTCGATTCTAAGCATGCACCGCACACACGAGAAAAGCGGCAGGGCAGCAGCAGTTGCAGGGATCAGTCAGGTCCAGTCGGCCGGTCAAGCTTTGCTGCCGATTATCCTTGATATTCTCCTTGTAGAAGATCAGCAATCGTGCAGGGGCAGCAAGGATAGCTGATGAGGTCTGTAAGCCCTACCCAAAGGTCGCCTCTTCGGACTTCAGGCTTCGAGGCTGTCTGCTGCTGGATGCTTTGGTTGATGACTCTATCGTCTCGGCGTTCAAGGCCCGTCTCTCCAAGACACTGTGATTCGATCTCCTGTCAGAAATGCGATGCGTCTCGTGTTTGGAGTGAAGGAAGCTTCTTGGTAGTCAGCAAAGCGAGTCTTGGTCTGGGCTGCATGAGGCGGCATGGGCCTGCGGCTTGCATGGGGAAACTCTCTGAAATGTCCGAACAATGATGACGCTCATGCACACATTTTTATCTCTCAATGCAATTAGGCAATGGCGATCGCGTCTGTCATGAGATACACATCAGATGTATCGTAGGTCGATTCGCTCTCGGTGAATACACATTGTAAGTATTCTTCCTTGATGTTGCAAGGTTGCATGAGTGCGTGTTGATTCTGCATGGATAAACATATTCATGAACCCCGCTGTCAACACTGAAGCTTGGTTCCACCCCGCCGCTTGACTGGGGCTCGGGAACCTTCTACCTTAATCTTCTTATTTTTAACTCCAAATGTTGCACAAGATACTGCCACGCTTCAACCCATGGCTCAAGCCTCAGGCTCACGCGAGAAACACTATGCATGCAAGCCCGAACATTGTTCATCAGGTTTACATCCATAAGGCGCATTAATCTCACCCTGCTCGACAGTTCGAGGCGCGCCTTGGTCAAGGATGTCTGGCTGTCTTGCTGACTTATCCCGATCTTGCAAGCCAGGTCCACAGCGGCAAGACGAGCCGTCAGGGTGGCATTTGAGGCACGGCACGCAATCCTAAGCCTCCTACACATCGCTGGTTGTTGTCATGTAACTTTCAATAAAGCTTCTCTCTCTCGACACAAGTACTGTGTATCTTGTTCCCATGTCACTCTTTGATGCCTCTTCACTCGAGTCCAAATATAACCAAGCAGCGAGCAGGATTCTTCCAACAAACCAATCACCCATCATCGGAGATTTCTGCTTACTTGCGCTATGTGGGTTAGCAGGATCGACTGATCACCAGCAGAGGTTTGCTGCACATCGTGAAGCACATGCTTGTTCGTGCATAGAGCGCATGAATTTCTGATTTTGGCTCGAGCATGGATCATCATACACCCTCTCTGTTGACTGTGATCAAACGGTTGTCAAGTGGCTTGCGCTGTCTCGCTCAAGCAGAGGATGAGGAAGAGATCTTCTCCGGCTATACCACGACAAGTGCTGTAACTCATGTACCTGGGGCCGATGGAAACGTCTCCGTTCCTGGGAGGACGTATCCTTCTATTCCTGTTCAGTACGTTCTGGCTGGCGAAGTACCTCAGACGAATGCTCCAAGCTCGACATCTCCCCCTTGACGTTGGAATATCTCCTATGAGCGTCAAATTTTGTAGACAAAGACAAATTGGACTTCTTGCGCGCTACAATCTTGACAGTATGATTCTCGCTCGCGACAAAATCGATATCCTTGTAAATGCAAATGTACTCCCACGGGCTGCTAATAGCTTTGCGACCTTTGAATGATGAGCAAGCAGGACTTGTCAACCCAATGCTGGGAAAGGCCAGGATGGTCTCTTTTTGTTCATGACNTCCAGCTTGATTCTTGAATTCATGTGTCTCTACAATCACAGGGATTGTGTGACGAAGTTTGGCTGCCGGCAATAGAGCGAGTCCAGGTTTTGGATACCACACATCGCCTGTCTTGATCGATTCTCCCTTTCGTAGAAATCTGATTACCACAGATGTTCCTACTGGAACATTGGCTGGTACATATCTCAGCTTTATCCACCATCGCTCGTGGAAGAGGTTTGTCTCTGTCCACACGGCTTCCTTGGAGGTGCTCTGATTATGTTTTGTGATTTCCAGGAGAGTCTGAGTAAACTGTTCCGGCGCTCGTACTGGCCGTGGGAAGATTAGATATCTCTTTTGGTCATTCTCTGTCTTGTTCGTCTGGGGCGAAGAGTCCTCGCGGAGAGTGACATTTCCGGCATTGACACTATCCGATGATTTCCGCCATTCTCCAAAAAGAGATGGGAAGACAAATCCCACAGCCGAATCAAGATCTCGCAATGCAAGTTTAGTCTGATCTTCCACAAGAGAAAAGAACCTACGCATTAGTATTGCGGCCACGAGCTGAGAGTCTTCGTCGCGAGCCAGCCGCTCCTCAACGCGTGGGGAAACCTTGAACGAAACAGAGCTGTTCTTTGGATCCAATTCAATTTGACAGAGGTTGAAGTAGATTTCGGCTGTTTTCTCGCACAATGCAAGATTGCTCCACTTGTTCGTAGCCAGCTTCCTCAAGCGGTCAGAACTTAGGGCAGATGGCATAGCATTGGACTCGAGCATTTGTCTAATTGCATTGCGTGGAGTCAGAGTTTTGTCGGCGTTTGTCGCGTCTTCGTGCCATTTCACACCATTCGCCACGCAAGTCGTGATGAGCTCTGGCTTGGTGAAACTGAGGAGCGGTCGATGCACCACGACTCCACCAGACTCAACGTAGGCGGATGTCAAGTTCCTGGTATTGTCTAAGTGTCGGTAGGTACCAGACTTGGACACTTTATGGATCCCATCGCATTCTCCAATGGGCATCCTGGGTTGGATGCCTTTCAGACCGGTTCCCGTGTATCCGCTATGTATCCTTGATAATACAGTCTCTGCTTGATCGTCGGCATGATGGGCCAAAAGAAGAGTGTTGATGTCCGCATCGGCACAGGCGCGGCCAAGAGCCTGGAAGCGCATCCTGCGAGCTGCTGATTCAAGATTCCGAGCTTTAGTTGGGTCCGGAGTGTCTTTCCAGTCCATGGTCAAGATTTTAGAGCGTATGCGAAGTCGATCAAGAAGAATATTCGCTACAGATTGAGCTTCTTCGGTACTCCCAGGTCGAAGGCGATGGTCCACTATGAAGGCAGTTATGGNGGGCATCACAAATTTGCGGACGCGTGTACACAAAGTTGCCAGGGCCATTGAGTCAACTCCACCACTAATGGCAAGACCTATAATGGCCAGTCAGCACTTTTGTAGAGTGATTTGTCGTGTTAGCAGTAATGAGCATACCCAGTCCTTTCTNNTGCCCCGGCATATCGGCCCAAGGATGTCATCGAATCTGTTCTGACTCACAGGCTCAAACGCATACCTCACAAGCGAACATTTGAACATCTCATGGTAATGCAATCGATGTGTGTTGGTGTTAGTGTGGAATCGAGATGGCCGGTGTATCTCCAGCCGAAGCTCGGGCAGGGAGCGATCACGGAAGCTGTGGCTGTCACAATTTCCATGGCGTCAACTTTTCGGCTTCTGACAGCAACCGCCATGGCTTGACGTTATCATAGCACGAGCAATTGATTTCAATTCGCTCTCCTCTACACTTCACAATGGCAGGAGTCGTTCAAGAGAAGACTCCGCTGGTAGAGTCGCCCTACTTGCGCTCGCTTCTGGTAAGTGCCTTCTCCAGATGTTCACGTCATGCAAATGCCCCTCAATTCCGAGCTGTATATCTCTATACGACGACGCATATACACTCCCAATGCCATGTATACTCGCGACAAGAATCAAGATGCTTGCGTTTCCAGTTGCCCTGACCGATCCTGCCTATCTTAAATACCTCATAAGACCCAACGAGATCTACGCTAACCACCCACGTAGGCAGGCGCAGTAGCAGGCACCACAGTCGACACGTCCCTCTACCCCCTCGACACACTAAAAACCCGCCTTCAATCCTCCTCGGGCTTCCTCGCCGCCGGCGGCTTCCGCGGCGTATACGCAGGCGTCGGTTCCGCCATCGTCGGCTCCGCCCCGGGCGCCGCCCTCTTCTTCGTCACCTACGACGGCATAAAGCGCAATTTCTCCTCTTCCACACATACATCTACACAGCAGGCTGGCGTACACATGGCAGCAGCGAGTTTGGGAGAAGTGGCAGCTTGTGCTGTGCGTGTGCCCACAGAGGTTGTCAAGCAGAGGGCCCAAGCCAAACAGTTTCCGAGCTCGTTGGCGGCGTTCACGAGTATTCTTGACTTGAGGAAGAGTAAGGGATATGGTGTTATGGCGAGGGAGTTGTATCGTGGGTGGGGTATCACGGTGATGCGTGAGGTGCCGTTTACTGTTATCCAGTTCCCCATGTGGGAGGGTATGAAGAGGTGGGCTGCCAAAAGAGATGACAGGGAGACTGCTACTGGTTTCCAGTCTGCTGTGTTTGGAAGTATATCTGGCGGTATTGCTGCCGCTTTGACGACGCCGTTGGATGTGCTGAAGACGAGGATGATGCTGGCAAAGGAAAAGGTCTCGGCCTCATATCTGCTAGGCAAGATTTACAAGGAGGAAGGTATGAAGGCTTTCTTCAAGGGTATTGAGCCCAGAGTTACCTGGATCAGCATTGGTGGTGCCGTCTTCTTGGGAAGTTACCAGTGGGCGAGCAATGCATTGGGCGGTATCAACTAGCATACCATGTACAATATACATGGATCCTTAGTGAATGTACATTATAAGCCAACAAGTCTTTTCGTATTTCTGCAGCTACCTACCATGACTGTGTATGAACCCAAGTCTGTAACGACCGAGGGAGTGCTCTGGGTGGGAAGACCAAAAAGGCTGCTGCATTCATGCTGTTGAGCTGACTTGTTCCTGCCGACTAGTTTAGCATGGTTGATCGGCCTTGCTGTGTTACGTTGTTGTTCCATGTCTGTGGTACAATCATTGTCTCATGATGTCTCATACAAGATACGGGCTCTTACTTGAATTACGAATACGAGTGCGAGTACGAGTAGTAAAACAACGGCTAGACGCGAGACACACATGAACTACCTTCCAAAGAAAACTATGCACCTTGATGGTTACAACACGGCAATCACCAACACACTTCAACACTCCAAACAAAGACCGAAAGGATTTTGGAAACAGTATCTGTAATTTTTTGTCTTGAAAAAGGGGGAATTATGCCATTTCGCTTCCTGCACCTACACCAGATGTAAAGCCTTTCCAGTGTAATATGATATAAAACGCAAGCACCCAGCACCCGAGACTGAAAAAGAGCTGAAAAAGAAGATTCGAACATGGTTGTAAAGGTATTGGTGTGGGGATGGAGGAGGGGAAAAAAGAAGAAAAAAGTGTAACCCCGAAGAAAGATGGTGGAGCTCTGTAGTGAATCATTTTTTCATATAACTTCGTGTTGCTTTTTACCTTTATGCACCGAACTCCTTGATGTCGGGAGTGTACTTGCCGGGGACAAGGGCAAGAGGGACGATACCGGAGACGTGCATCTCAGGGCCGAAGACGTGCATGTCGAGCTTGAGCTCTTGACCGACGGCCTTGATGTTCTTGAGACCTTCCTGGTAGTTGGGGCCAGCACGGCGGACCCAGATCTTGACGTTGTGCTCGATAAGGAGAGGAGAAACCTCACGAAGGGCGCGGATGACACCCTTGAAGGTGGAGGCGACGTTGGTGAAGTTGGCAATACCACCACCGATGAAGAGGACCTTGCCCTCGGGGTGCATGGGAGCACGGAGCATGAGGTCCAGGACGGTTCTGGCGTAGTGGAAGGTCTGGGTCTCGGTGGGAGCACCGGAGTACTCGCCGTAGTTGGCAAGCTCACCAGCGTAACCGGCAGAGGCAATGGCATCGGCGTAGACGACCGAAGCACCACCACCAGCGACGAGGGTCCAAACACGACCGTTGCCGTTGAGGATGGTCAGCTTGAGGGAAGCACCAGTCTTAGCGTCCATCTCGGCGATGTAAGCCTCCTCCTTGGACATCTCACGACCGAAAGGAGCGGGGAACTCCATGGGAGGGCCGACGTCAACGGAGACCTTGGTGTCCTTCTTGTCAGCGACGTTCAAGCCGAGAGCAGTGGCAGAGCGAGCGATGGCCCACTTGGCACCACACTCGAACTCAGCAGTCTGATCGATCTTGGCAGCCAAGTCGAGGAAGTGGACCTCAGCAGAGGTGGCATCAGCATTGGGGATGACAACGAGGGGTTGATCTCGAGGTAGCTGATTTCTTGTCAGTAGGTTGATCGAACGGTATGAAGACGGAGAACGTACGTGAACTGGCAGTCAACGTAGACAGCGTAAAGGCGGGAGATGAAGTCAACAAGGACGTTGTGGACACCCTGGGGAACCTTCTTGAGGAGAGTGGCAGCAATCTCCTCGTTCGAAGGGTACTCCTTGAGGTCGACGGGGATCAAGAGCTTCTCAGCCTTAGCGTCGACATCACCGACATCGACACCACCCTCGTGGGTGAAGAGGATCCAGTCGCCCTATTGATGATATGTTAGTCTTTGCTGATGAAATGATGACTATAACGGCATGGTGATGATATGGGAGTAATAAGGGAGGCCATCGAAAGCGGGTAGATCCGCAAGCCAATCGAGATGGCGATGGGTTAATGCAGGTACAGATGTTGTGCGTTGGTGTAAGGGATAGAGAGGACATCTGTGCACGGTGGGTGGGACTGGTGGGATTTCTCCCTTCATCCGAAAAGAATAGCCGGGGAATTGCTCAATGCCAGCCCAACGTGACTTTCACATGCAAAACAATCATATGAAAACTTCACCCCTGGTCCTCGTCTTCTCCTTGCTTCTTTTCTTTCAATAAAAAGATGTTCAAGCAAAAACTCGACAAGCCCAGGAGGATTGGTCTCCAATGACCATCTTCGACAATCCGGAAAGAAAAGGGAAAAAATGAAAAGAAAAATGCCACATACCTCACGGACGGAGTTGATGTTGATGTAGTACTCGGTGTCTTGGGGGTGAGGCACGAAAGGTTCGACCAAGAACTGTCTCAGGACACCATCGACAGTCTCGACTCTCTGAGGCTTGCCGGCACGCTCCTCGACCCATGCTCTGGCCTCAGCCCAGGTCTTGTTCAGGGCCAAAAGGCCGCTCTTGCCTCGTCGCTTGATGAGCTGATCGGGCTTTGCGACAAACTTGGCGCCAGACTCGTGCAGCCAGGGGTACTTGACCTCGGCCTCGTCAAGGACATCCTTGGGGGAAGCACCCTCGGCGAAGTAGAGGGAGCAGAGCTTGGCGTGAGGGTTGTGGTTGGCGGCGGCAGGGAGAGGAGTGGGCTTGATGACGGGAGCTCTGGTAAGGTGGTAGTTGAGGATGGCCTTGCCATCGGCTTCGAGGATCGACTTCGCGGACATGACTGCTAAGAAGGGACTGGCGAGAGAAAATGAGCAACGACAAACAAGACCAGTTGACGAGTCGAAGCGAGGGTGAGAGTGATGGCGAGGACAGAGAAAGGGCAAGGACAAGAAGAGAGAGAGCGAGGAGCAGGAAGCAAGAGGAGGAAAGTGGTGAAGAGCTAGGAGCAACAGCAATGCAATGGGGAATGGCTTGCGGCAACAAGTCGTGTGCTTTCGGCTCAACAAGAGTTGGGAGATACAGGCACGGCGCACGGAAGTGATATGCGAGACATTGACCATAGACTTGCAAAAAGTCCGACGGGCAATGTATCGACGAATCACCTTTGTTCGCCGAGAGCCAATTTTGGATACACAGGTAGGGTGCTGGTTTGGAGAGCTTGTCTGACGGGTGCTTACCTGGTGGGCTGGGAGAGGTGTTCTGAAAGCGAAAAGTCCGAAGAGGTGGGTATCACACAATCAAGGAGACGCCAATTGAAGACAGAAAGAGCAAAGAAGGTGTCGGAGGCTTGACTGGATGGATTCGGGAGAGCACTCTTTGAGGAGGGGAGCTGTGGATGAGATCGAGGAGAATATTGTCGGGTCTTGGCTCCAGGTGGCCGCAGAAGGGTGCAGACGGTGAGCTCTCGCTAGCGCGGGCGGGGCGTGTTAGCGCAGCCGTTGGGTCGACCAAAACGCCGATCCCGCAACGCAAAAGCGCTGGGAAGAGTGGTGAGTGGGCTGATTATGCTGCTAATGCTAATTTTATACAGGGGTTTTGTGGAGAGAGCTCTGAAAGCACGCGCCGCCAGAACGGAACAAAGAGGACACGTCGAACACCTGGGAAGAGAGGTGCAGCAGCGACAGCCGTGACTCGGGCCGGTCGTCTGTCAACAGCTTACGGCGACGCCGCTCACTCAGCGCTTTGCCACGGCTGTTGGACGTCCCTCAGAGTTTCGACAGCAGGTCACCAACAATTGCCGCAAGCCATGCCCAATGCAAGCAGCAGATGAAGGGGGAAATTGATGATGGTACGATTTCTGGTTGCTCACGGCCGGAGTCGGGAGGTTTGAGGAGAGCCGTGCACCGTGGAAGCGGCTGTCACAGAAAAGGCGCGTCGGCTTCGTCGGGGAATTTCCAACCCACACCAGTCCCAGGAAACGCAACGGCTGCGCCAAAAAACATCACCTTGCACCGGCGACCGGACCACGCTAACCTCAACCGGACCCCTGCACCCCTCGGACTTTTGGCCCTGCGGTTGAAGCCTCAGCAAAGCGCCGCTGCGTGCGACGAGTCGAACAATATTGCTGCTCGACCAAGTCTTACCTCGTCCTGCCTCGTCCCGACCTGCTCATCTCCGTTGGTCATTCATCTTCTGCTCGTCCGACCTTTGCTCTCTCTTCCCTCCTCCTCCTTCCTTCCTTCTGTTGTCGCTTTTGATATAACTGTAAGTGAGCTCTGAATTTATTGCTGTTACCGGCCGAGTCAGCTTCGGCAAGCTTTGCACACCCCATCTTCGCTCCCAGCACTCTTCCAATTGTCTTGCCCCTGCACACCCACAGCTCCAATCTTGCACAGCATTGCTCCAGCATCGCATTTGCAGCACTTGTCCAAGCTTCAAGCCGTCTAGTTGCTCACGTGTCTCTTTGTCCGTCTTCCCCTCCACCGCTCCTTCCCTCTTCTACAGCTCTTCATCGCGAACTCCCAACTGACACAGCGCTCCTCGCAGCTTTCACAATGGTTTCCGCAACCACATCCACCCCGTCTGCTGCCTCCACCTCAGCAAACGGAGCCAGCCAGCCCAACGACAACATCACCCGCTTCGCTGCCCCCAGCAGAGCCCTGAGCCCCACCCCTTCTCACACTCTGTTCCACCCCAAGACGAGATGTTTCGTCTACGGTCTGCAGCCCAAGGCCGTCCAGGGCATGCTTGACTTTGACTTCATCTGCAAGAGAAAGGTTCCCTCGGTCGCCGGTATCATCTACACCTTTGGTGGTCAATTCGTCAGCAAGATGTATTGGGGCACCAGCGAGACTCTTCTCCCCGTCTACCAGAGCACCGAGAAGGCCATTGGCAAGCACGACGACGTCGACACTGTTGTCAACTTTGCTTCCTCGCGTTCCGTCTACCAGAGCACTATGGAGCTCATGGAGTACCCTCAGATCAAGACCATTGCCATTATTGCTGAGGGTGTCCCCGAGAGAGTGAGTTTCCACTTTATCAAGAGATCAATCGCAACAAATGACTAACACATAAACAGNCGCGCCCGCGAGATTCTCCACGTTGCCGCCAAGAAGGGTGTTACCATCATCGGTCCTGCCACCGTCGGTGGTATCAAGCCCGGTGCTTTCAAGATCGGTAACACTGGTGGTATGATGGACAACATTGTTGCCTCCAAGCTCTACCGCCCTGGTTCCGTTTCTTACGTCTCCAAGTCCGGTGGTATGTCCAACGAGCTCAACAACATCATTGAGCAGACCACCAACGGTGTCTGCGAGGGTGTCGCCATCGGTGGTGACAGATACCCCGGTACCACCTTCATTGACCACTTGCTCCGTTACGAGCAGGACCCCAACACCAAGATCCTCCTCCTTCTCGGTGAGGTCGGTGGAGTCGAGGAGTACCGCGTCATTGAGGCCGTCAAGTCTGGCCAGATCAAGAAGCCCATTGTTGCCTGGGCCATTGGCACCGTTGCCAGCATGCTCAAGACCGAGGTCCAGTTCGGTCACGCCGGTTCGTTCGCCAACTCTCAGCTCGAGACTGCTGCCATGAAGAACAAGTCGATGAAGGATGCCGGTTTCTACGTTCCCGACACCTTCGAGGACATGCCCAAGGTTCTTGCCGACCTTTACCAGAAGCTCGTTAAGGACGGCACCATCCAGCCCCAGTCTGAGCCCGCCGTGCCCAAGATCCCCATCGACTACTCGTGGGCCCAGGAGCTCGGTCTCATCCGTAAGCCCGCTGCCTTCATCTCCACCATTTCCGACGACCGTGGTCAGGAGCTCCTCTACGCCGGTATGCCCATTTCCGACGTCTTCAAAGAGAACATTGGTATCGGTGGTGTCATGTCTCTTCTGTGGTTCCGTCGCCGTCTTCCCGACTTCGCCAGCAAGTTCCTCGAGATGGTTCTCATGCTTACTGCCGACCACGGTCCCGCCGTTTCTGGTGCCATGAACACCATCATCACCACCCGTGCCGGCAAGGATCTTATTTCCTCGCTCGTTGCTGGTCTCTTGACCATTGGTTCTCGTTTCGGTGGTGCCCTCGACGGTGCCGCTGAGGAGTTCACCCGCGCCTACGACAAGGGTCTTTCGCCCCGTGACTTCGTCGACACCATGCGCAAGGAGAACAAGCTCATTCCCGGTATTGGTCACCGTGTCAAGTCGCGCAACAACCCCGATCTCCGTGTCTCACTCGTCAAGGAGTACGTCAAGGCCAACTTNCCCCGTACTCCCCTCCTCGACTACGCCCTGGCCGTCGAGTCCGTCACCACCTCCAAGAAGGACAACCTGATTCTCAACGTTGACGGTGCCGTTGCTGTCGCTTTCGTCGACCTTGTCCGCAACTGCGGTGCCTTCACCTCCGAGGAGGCCGAGGACTACCTCAAGATGGGTGTCCTCAACGGTCTGTTCGTTCTCGGTCGTTCGATCGGTCTCATTGCCCATTTCCTCGACCAGAAGAGACTGCGCACTGGCCTCTACCGTCACCCTTGGGTAAGCTGTTTTCTACACGTACCTTTTGAACTCATCACTAACAACATCTCCAGNGACGACATTACCTACCTCCTCCCCAGCCTCAGCGGCGGCGCCNNCCCCGGAAACGAGGGCCGTGTCGAGGTCTCTGTTTAAAAAGAATGAAACAAAAATGATACCAAGAGAAGGGAAACAACAGTTGGGATATGTGGAGCTTTTTCTTCTTTTCTTCTTTCACAGACTGGGTTTAGGTCTTTTCTTCGTTCTCGCATGGACCGGGGAGTTTTGTGTTATGCCCCATCACCCACCACAATATAATGATCATCAACGTTCAAGCGTCACATTTTCAAATCATGCTCTATCTCTACTTCGAAAGACCTCCAGATGTGCACGTGTAAACAAGCAGGGTGTTGTGATGAATGGTGAGTCGCTAAGTGAGCGCAGGAGTCCTTATTCGAGGGTCAATATATGCGCCGGCCCTGGGCACACCACCAAACGCCATAGGCTCCCTCCCCCTAGACACGCTTTCTTCGCAATCAATTACCACTGCTGCCACGCAGTGTATCTGTGTATCTTCGTTCTTACCCGTCCCCTGGTCAGAGAGCTACTCGTCTGCCCTCAACCATGTGTACCTGATACTGTAGCACAAGGCAAACTCCAAGACCCATTCCTCACGCCAGCCTTTAGCCATACGATTATGCATCGCATTGTTCTCGGCTTGTAACAAGTGGGCGCGAATATCGAAACACGGTGGTGCCGTCGGAAGACATTGCTTTGTGGAATATGCCTCTTGCCATGAAGCGTGTCGGGGAGATGGTCGTTTGGTTGTTCAGCTCATCCCAATCCTTGATGCTGATGACTTTGCTCTATTCGTCGCACGAGAATTGGCAACACTGGAGGAGCACATACGTTTGAGAGAAGAAAAGCATTTGCAAATTCAGCCTTCGAATGTGAACGCCAATACACGTTCTTGGGCTTCTGGATTTGAGTCGCTCACCAAGACTCTTTCCTGTTCTTCACGTCTTTGTCAGGGTGGAAAAGTCTCGTGGCCAGAAGGGCCCAGACTGCTGCCGTTGCAGCGCTCAAGGCTCACAGAGCCAAGTTCGTGCTCTTGAAGTCGTGATGCTGTCGGGAGAAGAGATGCATCCAAGTTGGCCAAGCCCATGTTCAAGGAGTGGTGTCCACAGGTGAGTGACCTACAAATGATTGATGGATGTTGCTAGGTTGAGGTTGATATACTATGCGCCTTCCGAATGACAGCAGCATGTTATTCAGAGCATTATCTGCATTTAGGGAACGATTGAATTGGTGTAGTACCTTGTACCATA